TGCATGCATGGTATGGTCGGCGTCGCCAACAGCGCGCTGTCGTAGGTTTGCATACGGGGCCACTGAAAGGAGGCCACAGTTGGAAGTACTGATGCTTGTAAGACCCCAGTTGACACTTGTGTACGCTTGCTCCATGCGCATTTCCTGACTGTAGGTGTCCTTGCACATCTACATTGTCATACAGCCTTCGCAGCCTTCGCAGCGTTTGTAAGTTTCCTTGCTTGTCGTTTGACTGGTTACGAGGAAAGGTAATTGTGTTCATGCACAGCACAACGTTGTGGTGCTAACACATACATTTGGGGGCTGCAACACAAATCTTGGAAAAGGCACGTTTTCGCAGGCAGGCTAGGCACGCCATGCATATCTTTAGACATTTTCGTAATCGAAAAGGGTTTCCTAGCTACATCTTCAGTCCTTAATGAAATGTGCTCGTAGAGGCGTCATGTAGATAGGGGCGGGTTTTCGTGACCCACGGGTCTGGAAAGGCAAGCAGGCGAGCGGCTCAGCGGCGGCCACAGAGCAACCTGCTTTTTGCTTGCGTAACAAGTTACCGTCTGTCTTGTTTTGCTGCTGAGACGTGGGACACCAAAATGAGGCTTCAGGATAGCAGGTTTGGCGTGCCGTACAAACTGCTGGAAGGCGGTGACGCCATTGCCTTCACCACGGCGGCATACATAAACTCCATTCAAGTATTAACAGTATTCCTGAAAGATCCTGCTACCCTGTACGAGTTTCCACACCTTCACTACTCTACGCTTTTCACTGCTTTACCTCGCATACTGCAGTAAACGCCGCTCATACTACGCTACCTATCAATAACCTTCTTCCCAGCAGCCATACAAATGACTGGCGGTGAGGGTCGTCATGCGGAGGTGCGCACCGGCGAGACCAAGGGAGGCGCGCGCAACTCAGGTCGCGGAACCGGCCACTACGACGGGCCGCCGCCGCCTTCCACGGAGGAGGCATCGCGCTTAATGAGCCAGGAGCAGAAGTCAGGCGGAGACAGTAGCGCGGGCTCTGCGGCTGCGGAGATGCAAAGCCAGGCTGCTCGGGTCGCGCAGGGCAAGGGCATTTGATGAGGTGGCTGATAAGGCAAGGACTAGCTAGCCAGGATAAGCAACATTTGGGCTTTGCGTGATGAGGCATCATGCATTTCGTGTTAGAGAATTTAGGGATGAGCAGAATGCGCATCGACACCGGTATGGCTGCCCCCCTTTCACGTCCTCCTAGCTGCCAAGTCTAGTGTACAGTTGTTGTGCAGTTGGATCTAGATAGCAGCCTGACAGTTCGCTGGGCTAACGAGGGATGCATGTAACGGAACCAATTTCAGCCGCGCGAGAGAATCCTCGGCCCATCCGCTGATTGCGAGCGCCCCACATATACGAACACGTAATGCAGGTACGACCAGTTTCACACCTTTACTTGCCCATTATGCATAAGGTAGGCCATTCCAATGCAGACCCAGCCAGCAGTTGTTGCCTCGGCTCGCACCTTTTTACCTAGTAACGGCTCGGCTGTTTCCGACTAACGAAGTGTCCGCAACGTAAAATCTAAAGCAGCCCTTCGTTCTGCAATCGTCCCCTCGTGGCACCAGGCCCGCATCCTCATCTACGAGCACCGCACGTATCAAGCCCAACAGCCATGCTAAGCCAGACACCGACTACGCATCTGTTAGAGAAGCAGCGTTGTCAGCGTTGCAGTCGCTATGTCCTGTGCTGGGTGCTTTTAGCGTTGATGGCAGCAGCGTTGCCAGCCTGCCGCGCCTATCCTGATTACTGGATTGACCGACCCGCGGGTCAGTCGTGCTCTGCCCACCCAACCAGCATGGTCCTGGGTAGCCCGCACGGATCCCCGTATCCTGACAAGTAAGCGTTGCCGTTGCGCCCATCAACTTCTGCTTGTCACACGTTGCCTTGTCATTTGCTAATTAGAGGCGGGGCGCCGGATGCGGTGTTATCTTTACCGGTATGTTACTTCATGTTAATGAGCGGAAGTGAAGTACGTGATGGGAAACGCCGTTCCCTGCGAAGTTGGGCGTTTCCTGTTGGGAGGTTTCCAGGCCCACGCAAACACCTGATAACGTGATAAGCCCCCCGCTTCCCCTGATGCTCCTTTTCCGTAGTTCCATCGTCATCCGTGCTTTGGGGAAGGATAGCCAGCAGGAAGCGACACAGCTGTGCCCAGGACAAACCTACACCTTGCAGGTACGGATACGCCAACAATGTTTTAAGCGTGATACCGGTAGCCTGCCCACATCTTACTAATTTTGTACGGCATCATGCCCGGTGTACGGCATCATGCCCGGTGTACGGCGCGATGCCCGGTGTACGGCGCGATGCAGGTGACGCTTCCCAAGCGGAGTCGGGCCATCATCTCAGCCTCAGCCGGCGCCTTCGAGGCGAGCGATTACACACTGGATGCAAACTGGTATGGCTGGCCTTTGGTGTGGCCCTCATGCTTTCATCCTGGGCATTGCCGCATGCTTCTTGGACCTCACACCAATAGGAATGTAGATGCCTCCCCCCTATGAACCGCCGTCTATAACAATATAACCATGACGCATGCTTGCACATGTCGCCGTTCTACGCTGCTAACACGCACCTGTGTTAGCAGGTCGTATGGCCGCGAGGCGAAACGTACTGTGATTGCCGAAAGATGAAGTCCTCCCACCGAAAACGCCACCTGTGTGTATGTGCACCTCGCTCCCGCCCCGCCCGCAGCCCCAACCGTCTCATCATCGGCTCCTCCGAGTCCTCTTTAAGCTCCGCTCGCCTGCCCGGCAACCTGCAGGCGCGCCTCACCCTGCCATGCAGCCTTCCTAACGGTACGGCGTGGGGTTGCCTTGCATGCTCCTCATGGGACCCCAGCTTCCCAAACCCTAATCCGACGACCCGCATGCTCATCATAACTTGCTCATCATGGTGTATGGGATTGATGGAAGACCGTGCCCGGACCTACCAGGCTTGCATGCATGGCCCCGGCCTCGCCCTACCCTACCTCCTTACCCACCTGGCTTCTAAACCGTTGAATTCGTGCCTCAGCGCATTCGTGCCATCGTTTCCCATCCAACCGTTGTAATCTGTGAAGGCATGCATGCTTGAGTGCATGCTGCCTTTTGGCGCGACGGTCACCGCTTCGCACCGCAAATCCGCAATACACCATGCATGCTGCTGTAGGTGGGCGACAAGACGTCAACAGCAGCAGCCTCACAATTGCGGTCACGTGCGTTGGCGGGGGCACCTTCCGCTTCCGCAATGCCTCCCGCACGTACTACATACAGCCAGACTGTGCCACGCAGAAATGTAAGCAGTGCAGAGCTAAGCTGCTGCTGGGTTAGCCGGGAAAGGGCGTTCGGTTTGGTGATCATGTGGCATGTCTTATATGCCTGTCATGTGACAAGATCCTTGGGGAGTGGTGAACTGCCGTGCTTTACTCATACGCTTTGCTGCTTTCCGTGTACTGGGAGTGCTTGGGTGGTGATGCTGCTTGGTATGTCTGAAACTATGTGCACTAGTGCTACAAGCTTGGCTGGCATGGGTACGCAAACCTGTGCCAAACATCGCATTACCCTGCCTGCATGCACGCATACCGGATACGACGATGCTATCCTGCCGCGCGCTTGGCAATTGCCGTACTTTGCGCCATTGGTCGCCCCTACGACAGGCGCCCTCTCACAGCAAGCTGCCGTCAGTTTCGTTCCTCCTGCCGGGCAGAGCGCTCTGCCCGAAACTAGTACTGCAACCATCGGCCTGCGTGACGCCGGCAGCCCTGCATCATCAACCAATACCTCCTCGCAGCTGACAGTGCCTGTGCCCACCGTCCAGGAGCCCGTCGTCCGGGCCGCCGCCGGCCCCAGCGATGCCGCTACCGTTATGGCGGACGAGGAGAGCTACATCCCTGACAGCAGCTACGAAACCGCTGCCGCTGCCACGCAGCGGTCCTCAGCGCCCCCGCCACAGTCCCGGCCTCCTCCGGTTGTGCAGGCAGCATCGCGTCCCCCACCATTACCTCCGTCACCCTTGCAACCACCACCAGCCGTCACCCAGCCAGCGACCCCTTCGCCGGCCCCATTGGCCTCGGCTCCCCCGCCAGGTGCCCCGTCGCCTGCGTTGGTGACGGTATCCGACCCAGCATCCTCAATGACCATGTCGCCGCCTCCGGTGTTTACGACGAGCAAGAATGAGAGTACGGCAACATCAACTGCTAACGACACCAGCGGACATGTGCACATAGCGGATGGCAAGCCGTCTGCCGTTGTTGTTGGCGGTGGTGTGACAGCGCAGGCAAGCGGGGGCCGGATGCTAGGGGACAGCTTGGTTGCTACTGCTGTTGCATGGTTCGCTTACTGGCTGGCCGTTGCTGTGATGTCTTAAGGTAGCAGAGGTCAGTGCAGCGCGGGCGGAGTGATGGACAAGGGTTGTTGCAGGTGAGCTGAACGATTTTCCAATAAAAGCATGGTTCTCATTGTCTAGTGATCAGGGTTGCGCGGGGATGGTTAATCCAACCCCTTGTTGACGGTACTCCTGGACTGAGCACAACGCATCTAAGTGCTCATGTGACCGTGATCAACATGCTGGTATGAAGTCGACGGTGTGGATTTTCTTTATAACCGGTTTGGTGTGGTAACGTAGCGAGCTTTGCCCATCCATGGCCGACCCATGGGCACGGTTCACTCTAGGTTGATACCCGCAGCGTAGCGGCCGCCAATTTTAGGCATCACTTTCCTAATAGCATTTGGCTACCATCTGACTCGCGGTCGAATCTGTAACCAGGAAAATGTATATTTGTTTGCTCTACTAAACGCAACAGCTCCTTTATACTTGACACCATGGTTTTCAATCAGCGGATATACAGGTATATGAAAAGAATTATTAGCCAGGCGCAAGTGAATTGATATGCGTAGAAGTATCTGTACGTAAAGCTGGACAAACTGGCCCAATCGCACGGCGCCGCCGGATATACACGTAGGCAGTACCATAGACATCCCTGCTAGAGTGACAACAACACACCCAAAGGGCACTAGGGCGTGGCGCTGAGTTCCCTTTGCATAGCCTGCCTCACCATAGCGATCTTCTTGTGCAAAGCCGCAGAGTCGCAAACCTTTTTGAGCTCGCTTCTTTTGCGTTAATAATATTGGAATAGTGCTTTTCGAATCATTATGAACGGTTGCTGTTGATAGGCTGTCCCGGCCCATCATATCATGTTCGGTGGGGCCGGCAGGCCTGGCGGCCCTCTTGATGGCTGGTGAGGAGGTCGTTTTGCATCGAATTATGATATAAGATCAACTAAGGCGGCTTGCTGAGTGCTGTGCCGGGAATTGCTTGATGTAGGGGAGACTACGCGGCTGATAAGGAGTTAAGCCGGCTTTTGGAGGAGATTCCACGGGCTACCTCAGCTCCCCCACACCTTCAGGACCGCTGGGCCGTGGTGGGTGTCCAACTCAATGGGCTCTGGAATGCTGGATGAGCGCCCCCGTTTGCGCATGCCAACAAAGGCCGCATAACAGAAGTTATTATGCCACTAGGACGTCATGCCTAACTGTGCAGTAGGTCCGCACGCTTCCTACGGCAGCAAATTTTACACCAGCAAGAGAATCTTAACTATTGCTTTGTGGGTAACAAGACGTTCATCCTTTCCTTGGACCCTATAGAACTCTGCGGATTCGGCTGTGGACCCGAACGCGCGAGCGACGCCAATTGGGCAGCACCTTGGTGACATTCGCTTCGATGAGGACTATGCTCGCTTTTATGAGATGTACTCGGGGCAGCGCAAGCTGCCGCCTCCTGTGGAAGGGCGAACTCTTTACCAGGAGGTCCCGGGTCTCTTCCCTAGCCGTCTTCAGCAGCAGCTTGGAGCTGGGGGCCAGGTGCAGGTGCCGTCTCAGATCCTGTCCCGCGGTGTGACACCCGGTAAGGCAAGGTGCTATAATAGCCGCGTTAAGTCCACGCGCCGAGGGGTAAGCGCTGACGCCAGCGCGGGTAACTGGTCCCCCACCCACAGGCCTAGACGTCATTGATGAGCAGGGCCCTGCACAGGACATTGCGGCGTTGCATGAGGGAATGATCCAGGCGTTCCAGCAGCTGGGTGAGTGACTCTTTGCAGCGGCATGCCATCGCCGTACCTAAACATTTGTCCTAAGCACCGGAGTCCAAATGTGCAGGTGTGCGGGGACCATCGCCAATGCCTGGGCACCTGAACGGTGTGTCTCCTGGAGGCTCGAAGCCAGGGACTCCGTCGCCACTGGATGGTAAGCGGAATGGCAGTACAGTGTACTCTGCAGCAATGGGAATGCGTGTGGTATTGCCATGGACCTAGCTCTCGGCCTTGAACGAATCCCTCTCTTCATGCCTTGTCGACAGTGGCCGCGGCGGCGGCGGCAGCGGCAGCAGCAGCAGCTCCTAACCCCTTGCTCCTGAACCACCCATTGGCTGCTCCTGGGCTTCCGCCGGGCCTTGAAGGTGGGATTGAGCTTTGCCGCAAGAACTAAAAACGCCTTCACTGTACCGCTTCTGCTTGCATACGCGCGGGTATTGTTGCACCCCATGCTTTGAGACTGTAAACTGGCTTTCTAATGCGTCGGTGCTGTAAACCGCAGCCATGCTGCCTGGGGGGCATCCGGGCGTCAATGGACTGCATCTTCCAGGCGGGCCAGGGCCTGGCTTGCCGGGGCCGAACTTGGCCGCCGTTGCGGCAGCGGGGCCCCTCAACCTGACGAACTCGCTGGAGTATCAGGCGGCGTACCAGGCAGCATATCAGGCAGCGTTGGTGCAGACGCAGCAGCAGCTTCTGCTAGGACAGCAGCAGGGAGGTAAGATGGATGATGATGCGAAAGTGCTGTGGGATCCTCTGTCTGCCTTTGCGCGCTTACCTTGTATAGCAGCGGCTTACTTGGTACCTGACGCCCCAGCTACGCAACACCCCAATATGCGTTAACTTCTGCGGCTTCGGCTTTTTGCTTCGCAGTGAGCCAGCTTGCGGCTGCCACGGCGGCGCAGTTCATGCCCGGCGGCGGTTTCTACCCGGGCGGTGCTTCGGCGGCGGCTGCTGCGGCAGCGGCGGCAGCAGCAGCGGCGGCGGCGGCGGCAGCAGCGGGAACCGGTGGGTTGGGACTGCATATTCAAGCTTCTTTGGCACATGGGCTGCCCCATGTACCAACAAGGAGGTCGTAGTTGGTAGACAGCAGCCACCTGCGGGAGATCTTCCCCGACGCGAAACGTGCGAGAAAGAGATGCAACTATCCTGGCATAGGTTGTCCGTTTGCTTACGCTAGGCCTGTGCTACACGTGGTTGACTCTTGGAGTCCCTTCCCGCCGCGTGCAAACCCCAGGGGCTGGTCTTCCGGGAACTGGGCTTCAGGGCCTGCGGCTCGGCCACGACGCGGATGGCCTGAAGGCCCTGCGGGGCCGAGATGCGCCGAGCGGCCGTGAGCGCGATGGTCACCGCACCAGCCAGGGCGGGCGCGAGGGGCGCCAGAGCAGCTTCGACGGCCGGGCGGGCCCGCGCGACCGCCGCGAACATCGGGATCACCGGGATCACCATCACCGGGACCACCATAGGTGTGTTGTTCAGGCCTTGCCGTACATGGGGCTCTTAGAATGCTAGTATGGGATTGTATTTGCATAACCCATGATCACCACCGCCAGCTGCAAGGCATGCACAATCTTTGGAAGAGATAGGCTGAGTTGACGACGCTACCTGTCATGCAAGGGAGAGTAAGACTGGCACGTAATCCTGTCTTCTGTCCTCAGGTCTGGAGATCGCCACGGTCACCATGGCAACCACTCGTCTGGCGGCCACGGTGGACCCCACGGGTCCGATCACGAGCACGAGGGCATGGCTGCCATTGCGCAAAAGTACGCCAGCCTGGACGACGTAGTAGGGCAGCTCATGTCGGTGGCGCAGGACCAGAACGGCTGCAGGTACCTCCAGCGGAAATTCGACGAGGGCGGCGCTGCCGCTGTGGAGAAGGTACGGAAGGACACGGCTTGCGTTGGTCAGCTGAGCTGCATGGAACCACAACGTTGAGGCCTGATACCCATTGTTTATTCCATGCGTACACTGTTCGCCACGCTGAAATTTGCAAGACAGCATGTCGTGGATCTCCTGAGGCCTGACGTGTTGCGCTGCGGACGCCGCACCTAACTTGTTGTCCCTATGTAGGTGTTTCCGGAGGTGCTTGGCAACATCGTGGAGCTCATGGTGGACCCCTTTGGCAACTACCTCGTCCAGAAGCTGCTGGACCGCTGCTCCGAGCAGCAGCGCTTGGAGGTAAGCTTGTAAAGGCGGAGCGGGTCACTGGCTGGATTCCTGCAAGCATGGAAGCGTGCAAACTACTCACCAACGCTGTCCAGGCAGTAAACCCCACGGCAAAGGCGCATGCGTATTTGTTCAAATGTAGTGAGCTTAGCAGGGAACTAACGCATGTTATCCATGTTCTCTTTCGGCTTAGTTACATAAAAGCATAACACCGACAACGCTGCAGGTCCTCAAGAAGATAGCCGAGCGGGGAGAGCTGGTGGGTGTGGCGCTCAATACACACGGCACACGGGCCGTACAGAAGCTCATCGAGACGCTGTCCTCCCGCGAGCAGCGCGCCATCGCCATCGAGGCCCTGCGTCCCGGTGTGGTCTCGCTGATAAAGGACCTCAACGGCAATCACGTGGTGCAGCGCTGCTTGCAGCGGTTGGGGCCCGAAGACAGCCAGTTCATCTACGACGCAGCCATTGCGCACTGCGTGGAGGTGGCCACGCACCGACACGGCTGCTGCGTGCTGCAGCGCTGCATTGATTTCGCCACGCCAGCGCAGAAGCAGGCGCTTGTCTCCGAGGTTGCCAAGAATGCGCTGGTGCTTAGCCAGGTGCGTACTGTATCGGAAATGCGGCACGAGGTATTTCTTACGTGTGTCTTGTTAAAAGATGAAAAGAAAGGGTCCATGACCACGAAGGCTGCATCTGTACCTTCCAACACGCCCTCCGCTCTACATGCACTAAGATTCCTGCATCCCTTTGCTCTTCTCAGGACGCCTTTGGCAACTATGTGGTGCAGTACGTGTTGGAGCTGGGTCAGCTGGAAACGGGCGCCCAGATCGTTGAGGCGCTGCGCGGCTCCTTCTGCGTGCTGTCGCTTCAGAAGTTCTCATCCAATGTGGTGGAGCGCTGCCTCAAGCTGGGTGGCATGGACCCGGAGCGGGAGGCCATTGTGCGGGAGTTGATAGCGCCGACGAGCCTCGCGCGCTTGCTGCAGGTGGGAGCCAGGATGGCGCAGGGTTTTAAGAGGTTAGGGAGCCTCATACAAGAATTGCATTTGCTGAACGGATTGGAGTTGATTGCATCTTTGGCATACTTTATCCTAGCATCCTAGCACTGACACGTGCCATGCACTTCACAGGACGGCTACGGCAACTACGTCATACAGAGCGCGCTCAGCGTCACCAGCGGCTCAACACACTCCTTGCTTGTGGAGGCCATTCGGCCGTACCTGCCCACATTGCGTGGGACGCCCCACGGGAAGAGGATCGTGCAGCGCATCAATGGCAAGGTGTGAGCCGTCAAGCTGTGGAATAGGACACGGTGTGACCTGACCGTGCTAGGGCTCGGAAAGGACGTGGAAGAAGAGTTTGAAAGGATGGCAAGCGCAGGAGAGCGCATGGGAGGCGCGGATACTGGTGGTGCTGATCGCCGTGGTCATAACACTTATATGCTTGCGACTTGCTGTAGTGTGCCATGGGAAGAGTCGCTGGTAAGCACGGTGATAGCGGTGTTTGTAGTGCCAATGCTTCGGGCTTAGGCGAGCCCATCTCCTTTGATAGCATTTCGTGACTGACTGGTAAGATGGCGCTGCCGTTGCATGGTGCGAAGTTTTGGTGTGCAGTTGCGGCAAGCTGGCTGACGGCAGTCACGGTGCTGCAGCTGGGATATTCGGGTAGAGAGCAGGGGTATCCGGGATGCCTACTTATGCGAGACAAGGCCCGGTTGTGGCGGCTATGCAAGGCAGCAGCAGCAATCGTAGCAAAAGGCACGCACGTGTCGTGCAAATCGCGCGGTGATGAGAAACAAAAAGCCATATACGGCCCAGTGCGATACCGTCCTGTGGGCCCCCGTGCGCTTCCTGGAGCGCGTGGGCGCCTCGGATCCATCATGATATCGTACTGGCTGTTTTGAGGTATTGGGCACGGATGTTGTTGGTGTTTGTGGGTCACGGCAATGCGTGCATGCATGGCTGGTCCCGCGAGTGAGCGCAGCATTGGATGCTCCTCGCGTGTACGTTTTGTATTATCTGTTCTTATGGTGTAGAGTAAGATCTCTGGCCTGGACGCTGAGTGTTGGAGCCGTCGTCGCTTGCTGCAAAACCCGTGGCGGGTCCTGTCGGCGCGGCTCGCAATTTGTCAAGCTGGTGGGCTGCGGCAGCGGTGTCAGCCGCAGCCCAGGAAAGCATGTCAGCTGTGGTCACGTATGCCGCGCATGCCCTGTACATTGGTGGCACAGTTTTTTGTACCAACAGTGAGGTTCCTGCCTAATAGGTGGCGCCATCTCTGCGCCGCCTGGAGGGGCCTCCCCTGTTCTTTATGAGGTTTGGTCTTGCCGGGCCTGTTGAGCCGTTGGCTGTCCGCCGAGTAGGCAGGATGGGGGAGGGGTGTGGGCCCGCCTAAGTGCGTGCGTGGTTGCCAATGCATGCAGCACGTGTGTGTTGGATGGAGTTGTGTGGTATCGTGTCGGAGCAGCAGGCCAAGGGTGCGCACTCGTCAGGGGCCCCGGCTGACCGCCGGTTGGTCGGTCCACGGCAGGCACGTTGGGTAGATGATGTCTAGCGTTTGTGCGCTGGTATGGATCCGACGCGGTATCACCACTTTTACAGCCAGCACTGCGGGCTTTGGCGCCATGACGTGTTACTGTTGGGCGGCACAGCCTTTATGCCAACGCTGTGGCGTCTGCCGACCCAGCTTGTTCCTTCCAGGACACGGCTGTGGTTTATAGCCAGGGTTACGGTCCTGGCTATGAACACAAGCTCTGTGGCCAGGCCCGATAAGGCGCTCTACTATGGAAGCGGACATGCTGCGACCGTTGTAAACGCGGCATATGTGCAGTCGTGGGCTCTACGTACGCGTCGCCCGAGGGTGCATGACTTCCCACGTTCTGTCGATGCAGCAGCGTTGCGACTGCGCGATGGAGCTTTAATCGCTAAATCCATGCTCGACGTCAATCGCTACCCCACGACCTAAATTGCTAACTACTCGTGGCCTCCTGTTCTGACAGAAAGGGTTCACTGGTAACTTCAGCAAGACCAGAGCCTAGCACGCTTTGTATTTAGGCATATGTATTTCAGCTGTCGATGTACCACGTATAAGCTTGAGTTGGACTTCCGTGTTATACGGGCACATGGGCAGGACGTTCGGCAACCGAAAACGCGCAACCTATGTTCAATTGTTATACTAAAACGTCCATCTTTTACTAGATACTAACGATAGAACTCTTAGACGTTCACGGAAAAACCAGCAGTAAAGGTTGGCCCAAATTTTGGCGGGAGGTTGACGTTCCATCTGAGGGTAGCGCTAAGACCAGTCATAGCACACTAAAATGCACATTTCTAGGTCGTTTTGTAGCTGTGTAGTCCCTGGACGCTGGAGTTGAAGTTGGTACATGCTGCGAGGCCTTCCCGCTCTAAACCGTTACGTTTAAGCTATTGCCAGCTTAGGGTCCCCTAGTAATTGGCATGCTCAGTGGTGATGATTTAAGCGTATCATATCAAGCTACCTGGAAGCATTCCCAACTGTGCCAGGGCGACTGCCCAGCGACCGAGGTTTCTCCAGCAGGCTTATCAGTCGCGGATGCTTTGGGCTTTATGTGACACTACTTGAATGATAGTTGCCTGGCGCGTCGGCCGGGGCTAGCTACGCGACTAGGTGTAGACCATGGTGCTTATCGCTCAGCGCGCTGCGGTGAACACAACTCTGGGAACCGTACGAAGCTTTCCGTTGGACAATGATAGTGATGGAGGCGATGGCGGGCTACCTGGAGTGCAGGTGCGGGCTTGCAGGTTGCCTGGGTTTCCTCGCTTCCTGGATACCGGCAAAGCAATAAGGCTCCGTTCCGTTCCCTTGTTGCGCCATGCGCTGCCTCCATGCAGGTCACTCACATCCAAGGCGTACAAGCCAGCGCCGAGGGCTTCCAGCTGCAGATTAAGTCACCGTGGCCAAGCCGAGTGGCCTACGTCACTGCCTTGCCGTCGCAGCGCCTGTCAGAGATTGCAGTTCAGGCGTGCGGCCAGCTGGGTTTGAAGTGTGGGCAAGTGCCAGAGGTAGGCGAGCTTCCATAGCTACCAAAGCCATGCCACTTGACGTCCCAGCTCCCATGTGACCGCCGACAAGCCTCATCAAGCCCTTTGTTTAAGCAAAAGCTTCGTCCCATGCGGTTGCCCTTATGCAGACTGAGCTCAGCCTGTACGGCCCGGACTTGCGGGAACTGCCGTTAGACAGCACGCTTGAGGCGGCATGCGGAGGCAGCAGCAGCAGCGACGGCAGTGGCAGCAGCAGCGGTGGGGACCGCCCCGGCAGCTCACTTGGCGGTCATGCTGTAAGCGCTTCTGGAGGCAATGGCCTCATGCGGCTTCACCTGTTGCCGTACAAAGCACTCTGGGAACAATACTGGAAAGGCGCCTCGATTGATCAGCATGATGCACAGCACCCGCCGCAGGCCTCAGCGGCGGCTGTTAACGCGCGTGCACAGGAGACGGGGGCTGCTGCTGGCACCCATGGTGGTGACGGAGGCGCTTGCCACCATGCCATTGGCGCCAAGGCATTACCCACGCAGCCGGGAGCCCAGGCGGACCTTCCCGCAGAGGAACCAGACTGGCTGCCCCTCTACTGGCACCTCTGGATGTCGGATGCGCACCACACAGCCCGAATGCCTGCCTCGCCGCCCGACGGCTGTCCTCCGGTGTCCTTCATGCATGATGCAGAAACTCCGCTCAGCGTTTCACTCGATGTATTTGCGGGATGGATGGGGATTTCACAGTCGGGTCAGTGCTGCTCGGATGGGGATCCGCTGGACTTGGGAAAAGGCGCGAACAGCCCGGGATCGGAGTTTAACAGCGTGGTTGGCACGGAGTCCGCTAGCGGCAGTCCCACTAGCGGGACCCAAACGGAAGACGAGGCGGAGCACAGGGAGCACTCTGGCCGGGACGCGGCGGCGCCAAAGGAGCAGCAGCCGCCGGCTGAAGCGGCATCGGGGTCGCAAGCCTCCGGTTGCGGCTCTTGGTACCGCCACATGGAGTGGTTGCGAGGCGGCGGGACGCGCATGCTGCGTTTGCTGGCGGCGGCGACGTCGGCCTCCTCCACGACTAGCAGCGGAAGCGACGGCGGCAGCGGCGGCGAGGGTAGCGGCAACTGTAGCGGCACTGGGAACAGCAGCAGTAGCAGCAGCACCAGTGACGGGCGAGGCTGTAGCAGCCACGGCGACTCGACGAGCGGTTCTGCGGTGGCAGGCAGCGCAGTGGCAAAGGGCGGGGTGATGGGAGGCACAGGCAACGGCGCAGCAGCAGGGGCTTCGGCCGGAGGTGCCATGCACACTCCTCTTTCCTCCGGCAAGTGTAGCAGCGGCGGAACTTGCAACCGATGCGAATGCTGTTGCAGTCACGCTGCAGCCGTAACCGCGCCTGACAGCGCATTGAATGGCGGAGCCTTTAGCAGTACGATTGCGTCATCGGGTCTGCCGTTGCTATGGCTCAACCGACAAGTGTCTTACGATGCGAGTCCAGCGGAGTTGGGAATGTGCGACCAGTCCGTGGTGGCATTGCTCAACCTTTGCGACCGGCCGGACTGCGCCGCCTGCCTGCTGACCCGTGGGTCACTTTACGGTAACGTCGAGCTCATTGAGAAGGCACTTTCAGCTGGCGGCCTGGGTCCAGTGGACGAGCAGCAGAATGTTCCCGCTGCGGGGCTGTCGGGTAGCATTTCTGCTTCGGGGCTGGCGAAGGCGGCCGGCGCTGGCTCCGGGTCTGACGGTGGCTGTGGGAACCATGAGGATAAGGCAGCATTGGGCGATGACAAGGGCAGCAACCGGCCGCCCATGCTCATGCCGCTTGGTCTGGCAGCTGCGAATGGGCATGAAGGCGCTCTTAAGGTTGGTAACGCGTCAAACCGTAAGACAATGACGGAAGCATGCGACCGCAACAAACAGCAGGTGTTCAGCTGCACTGTTTTCACTCATATTCCATGCCCCACCACACCAAGACGCGCTCTTAACCTCTTTTTCCCTGTGCCTCCTGCAACCTCCCCCGCTCCCCACAGCTCCTACTCCAGCGCCGAGTGGACGACCCCAACGTGTGCGACAAGTTCGGGCTGCCCGCCCTGTGGTTTGCAGTGGAGCACGCGCAGCCCGGCTGCGTGCGGCTGCTGCTGCAGGCGGGCGCGCGGGCCGCGGACTGGGTGTTTGCGGCGCCGGCGGTGGCGGCGGCGGTGCAGGAGGCGCCGGCGGCAGCGGCGGCAGAGCGGGCGGCAGCGGAACGGGCCTCCGCTGCAGCGGCGGCGGGTCTGCCACTGGTAGGTCTGCTCCTTCTGTCGAGGCTTGGTCCAAACTTACATGCAAGTCCCTTGGTTGTGTTCTAACGTTACCACGCCCGGGCTTCCACTACCCCAGGCCGTTGCCTCGTACATGGCCCTGTGTCATGCGGTGGAGGTCGGCGATGTGCACTCTGTACGGGAGCTCCTGCGGTACGGCGCATGTCCGTACACGCCGGACGACAGCAACGGCACTCCGTACCACATGGCCATTGAGCGGGGCGATGTCGAGATCGTGGAGGTAAGCCGCTGTTGCGTATCCAACTCCACTGGCTGTGACTCCAATTTGGAGTGCTTGACCACTCACGCTCCTCGCTTGATGGCCCCCCCCATCGCGGTGTGTATGTGTTCCCTCCCAGGCGCTTCTAGAGGGCGATCCGGCCTTTGAGGAGCTGCAGGTGGGTGCATGTGGGGTGATGACGCGAGCCCGCGCCGCGTGCCAGTTTTGCCTCCGTACCCGTCACGCTAGGGAAACCTGTGAAGGGGTCTGGCTTGGGTTTTTCTTGACGGCCGTTAGGGGTCTGCTGCCCTGTTCCAGATCGCCCTGGCATTGCGGTGTGAGCTAACTCATATGTCGCCCTTCTTTGGCTCCCCGCACCGCCACACCACGCCACGCTACAACTACCTTGCGCCACTGCAACCCGCCACCGCAACACGCTCACTGCAATCCTGTGCCGCTACAGAGGGCCCAGGCGGACGTGTACCGTCGACTGCTGCATGCGTCTCAGCGAGTGGAGCGATCGGAAGTGGTGAGGGAGGCAGGGTACTTGTGCCGCAATAAAACTGACTGCGAGTCGGAACGTACTGTGGTATTGGGAGCTGAAGTCCCCATAGTAAACATCACGAGGCAGGATAATTGTGCGCATGTCGTTAACCGCATGCAAGCGGGTGGCGTTCAGGTTGCATGCGTCTGCCGCTACATGGTGCAGTACGGTTTTCCGCTGCTGCAGTCTCTTGGTCCGTACTGTGATGGCAGCAGCCATGCAACCTCGTTTCCCTTATTGTCCTCGGAGCTGACATGCGGGGGTCCGCCTTCCTGTCCGCAGGCGGGTTGCCCGTGCGTCCAGTGCAACTACCGAGTGGCCATTAGGGCCGCCGCAAGGTAAGCGAGGGGGGCGGGGTTGCACCGCGTGCAATCGTGCAGCTTAGCTTGCTGGAAGCCTTACACGGACTGGTGAAAGCCATCCGCTACGTGCCACATGCCACGCAACTAGGAAATGCTCGCAGCTATGATCCTCTGCCTCAAGCCCTTCCTGCCTTGTCCCTTCCTCCTCTTCCATGCCTCCACCTCCCTGCCTCCCCCCCTCAGTCCCGAGACGGAGGAGCTCCGCGCGCAGCTGCAGCTGGTGGCGCTGCCGGCCGTCATGGACGCAGCGCCCCCGGAGGCCGCTGTGGCGCTGATGGCGGCCATGAGGCAGCGGGGGGCGCTGCTGGATGCGCATGTGGGTGGGCGTGTGCGGGTTTGGGGGGAGACCGTACAGCAGCATCCGCGTGTGTGCGGTTGTGGCGCTATGCCATGCCATAGCTTTCTTGCGGGTTTTGCCACTATCTTTGTTTACACGCCATGACGGATGGTACCGGTACCCGGGCTCCAGACCACACCCCGTCCACGGCAACAGCATGTGGTGCCCTCTCACCTCGTTCCGTCTCACGCTGCCATGCACCGCCGCTCAGCCTCACGCTGCCATGCGCACCGCCGCTCAGCCTCACGCTGTCATGCACCGCCGCTCCTCCCGCCCGCCCGCCAGGATGCCGACGGCTACACCGCCCTGCACCTGGCGGTCCGCGCCGGCAACCTGGACGCAGTCCGCTGGCTGCTGCAGCAGGTGAGGGGCGCTGCAGGGCGAGGGGGAACCGCCACCCCGAGCGGGCTGCAGCCCGCCGGGTGGCTGAGGGGGCCGAGATCGAACCGCCACCCCGGGCTGGCTGCATACACACTGTATGCAGCCACTGCACTGCGGCATACCGCATGCTTGTCAAGCGCCTCGCATGCACGCGCCCTTTCACATGCGCCCTCTCTCTTCCCAGCTGAACTCAGCGTGTCAAGCTCTCCCAACCGCCCTCCTACCTTGGCCATGCATATGTTCTCTGATCACCCTTCTCCCTTCTTCCTGCCTCCTCCCTTTTCGCTTCCCTCTCCTCCTCCCTCCTCCCCCAGGGTGCCGACCCCATGGAGCGGGACGCGCTGGGCTACATGCCGCTGCACCTGCTGGCGCACTACGGCTGCAGCGCCGCACCCCAACCACCCCAACCGCCACCCGCGCCACCAACTGCGCAGAACAGCCCCGCCGCCGCTTCCAGTACCACCCCCACAGCAGCAGCCGCAGCAGCACCCCAGGCACCCCAGGCCAGCACTGGCGGCCTGCCGGTGGTGTCCTCCGCGGGGGGCGCTGGTACCAGCAGCAGCAGCACCGGTGGCGCCCCTGCCGTGGCTGCAATGCCCGCCGCTGCCGCCGCTGGCACGACAGCAGCGGGTGCGGCGCCTGCGGGTGCGACAGGTGCTGCCAGCGGTTCCCAGTTGGAGCTGGCGGTGGCCCGGCTGCTGGTGGAGGACGCACGCATGCCGCTGGGCGCCAAGACAACCTGCTTCGCGTACGAGGCGGATGTCCGGACGGAGGTAGGGTGGGGTGGGGGGCGGGGTTGGTGGGAGTAAGATGGGGGGTATCAAGCATGAGGTTACTCGCGGTGGGCTAGCAGTGAAGTGGGGCAAACTCGGCTAGTGGAAGCTCAGGTTTGGGTACGAGCCTCTAGAGTTGGGCCGGAGTGGGCTATAGGTGTGGTGCTGCGGTCGGTAGCCCGCGTCAGGAAGATACTTGGGGATGGGCACTCGTGTAGTCTACCCTTTCCTCTGTCTCCCGTTCATGGTAAGCCTCCCCGCATGCATGCCCCCTGTACGACAACCCCTTTGGCAGGAGGAGAAGCTTCGTACCGCGCCCCTAGCCGCCCCCAGCGCCTCCTCCTCCCGCAGCAGTCGCCGCAGCGCCGGGGGCGCCAGCTCCTCTAAGAAGCGGCGTGACCCCATGCTGACTGTCCCGCTGTACGGCGGTCATACGGCAGCGCAGCTTGCGTTACGGTACGGCAGGCCGCTGCTGCTGGCGTACCTGCTGCACCGCGGGGCGCCGATCGACCTGTCGTCGGCGACGTCGCGGCACTGCCTTGAGAAGGCGCTCGAGGTGCGGGATTTGGTGTGTGCGGAGGAGGGATAGGGGGAAAAAGAATAGCAAAAGCGTAATTGCAGCTTGGCTCATGTGCCGCCGAAGGGCTCTTTGTGGGCCGATTGCACGGCTGCTGTGGTGCTAATTTCATTCGGCAAGGCACATGACGAGACTTGTGTCCTTCCTCATTCCCCCCCATCCGCCCCATGCAGGCTGGCCACTCCGCTGCTGCTCGGATCCTTCTATCGTACGTTCAGCAAGGGAAACCCTCATCGTCATCATCGGGGCCGGCTCCTTCCTCGAATGGACCCTCCTCATCCGGCGGCTCCGCTGTGGCCACAACAACGGAGGGCAAGAGGGGCACCGTCCGCAGCACTGCTAAGCGGGCTAGCGGCAAGGGCACTCCCAGGGGCCGAAGCACGTCTCCGCCCGCAGGCAAGGCTTCGTTCCCTGCTGCAGCCGCCTCTGCAGCGGCGGCGCCGGTGACAACGGCATCGGCAGCAACGCCTCGAACTTCCGTACATCCAGCAATGGGGGATACCGTACAACCCAAGAGCGGCACCGGCATGCAAGTCGTTACCACGCAGGAGCCTGCGGCGGAGGCAGTAGAGGCTGCTGTAGCATCCGCAAGTAGCGCTCCCGCCGGCGGCGAGGAAGCTGAGGTTGTGACGGAGGCGACGACGGTGGCGCCGGAGGTACCCGACGCTTTGATGCTCGAGCGGAGGAAGGCTCGTCGTACCGTTGCCACGCTTCCGATGCTGCCGCTACCGATCGCTGCTGCCGCTACCAAGAGCAACGGCGACGTCGCCGCCACCGCCGCCGCCGACGGCGTTGGTGTCACGGCAACCACCAGCGGAGGCTTGCCGTCGTCGTCACGTGATGGCTCTGCCCAGTCGTCCTCCTCCACACCAATGCCGTCAGCGGTGGAGCAGCCGGCATTGACATGCCGATCCGCTTTGCCGTTTGCGACGGCGGTGACTACGGTGGCGGCGGACGGACTGGCCACAGTGACGGTGGTTCCGCCCGCTCCTGTGTCACAGCCTGTAGCCCTGCCGTTGAAGTGCCCTGAGAAGACCCTGGCGATGTCGGAAGAAGCGCGGCAGGCCTTGGCTGCGGCACCGTCGGGCCCCGGGCACATGAGCGCCGCCGAACCCCTGCAAACGGAGGCTGGCTTGCCCTCGTCCTCTCATGCAGTAGCCAGCAGTGAGGGGACAGGAGGAAGCCAGCCAGCAGGCACGGAGGCCGCAAGCGGTGAAGGGTGCTCGCCGGCTGTTGTGGCACAGTCCGCGGAGGGGGTTGAGGAGGCGGCAGGTGGCAAGACCAGCCGCAGCACGCGCCGGAGAGCGGCACGACGTGAGGCGAGGAAGGCCACAGGGGTCGCCCCAGCCGGATCAGGTGTCGCTCAGGTGGAGGTGGGGGCTCCTGCTATGTCCGGGGGGGCCGCGGGTGCTTTGCCCCCCGACGCTGCTGACGCGGTGGTGGCTTCCACGGCCGTGTCAGCGCCCAAGGCAGCTGCAGCCCCAGAGCCGGCGCCAGGTAACCCTGTACCCTTGCCCCCGGCTGCGACTGGTGGCTCCTCCATGCAGCTAGCCGCACCCCTGGTCAAGACGGCACCAGCCGCACCGGCAGCCCTTTCGAGTGCTGCTGCTGCTCCTGCTCGACCAGTTGCCGATGTAGCGCCAGATAGCAGCAGCAACAGCGACTCCGTCTCTACTGCAGCAGCAGCGCCATCTCAGCTACAGCAGCAGGCACCGGCTTCCAACGCTCCTCCCACCACCGCGCCCGCAGGTACTGGTGAGGTGGATCCGAGTAGCTTGACAGCAGTTGCCCTGTCGTCAATCGTAGAGGCGAGCGCGGAGGACCCTGGCCTTGCGGCGGACGACGACGGGGGCGAGTGGCGGGTGGTGACAGGCCACAGGCACAGGCGGGCCGCTGGTCAAACAGCGGACGTCAGCTTAACTTGCAGCAACAGCGTGCCTAGCTGTGTTGCGTTTGTCCAGCAGCAGCAGCAGCAGCCAGCGGCTGCCGCGGCGGCGCATGCTGCTGGCATGAAGCCGCCGCCACGTCAGCTGCCAAGCGGCTGCAGTGGTGGCAGCCGCCACTCCTCCCCGCCTAGGTTTGCTACCGCTGGCAGCACCACGAGCACCACGAGCGATAGCGCGCCCACCGGATCCTCCCCAGAAGCCCCCTCACTCGCTGTCGCCGTTACTGCCGTACACCAGTCGGCGGCGTCCGCTACGCTGCCGTTGGCCATCACGCCTCGTACGACACCAATCGTGACCAGCGGATTCACGACACCTGCCGTACTCGGGAGCTCGCCACTGCCTGCGGGTCAGCGCTCCGCCACGCGACGAGCGAGCAGCGGCAGTGGCGGCGTGGTCGGCACCGGCAGCGGCGCCGCCGCTGCTTGCAGCGCCGGCAGCGCCGACAGCTGTGGGTACATTGAGGTTCCTAGGAGCCTGTTGTACGGTAAGCGTGGACCCACGGGTCAGTCCCCCACCGCTTCAGCGGCAGCAACTCCAAACACGCTGGCAACAACGCCCAGGGGACCTTCCCTGGTTTCCCTGCCTCCGGTACCTACGCTGTCAGCCGCGGCGAGCACGGGGACCTCCTCCTCCGCAGCAGCAGCAGCAGCACCACCACCATCTGGAACCCCAGTCCAAGCCCATCCTATTGCCCGACATCCTGTGGCCCCGGCATCCGCGCCGACACCGCCTGCTGCTACTGCCGCGCCAACGCCCGTTACTGCGCCTAGCGTGATGCATTCACACAGTTCCTTCGCAGCAGCCGTCAAGGGCGAGGCGGCGGGAAGCCATCCTCCTCCCTCTCAGCCACAGCCGCAACCTCCCTCAGTCGCCGCCGGCGGCGCGTTAGGTCCTCCAACTGTACGGCAGTTGCCTCCCAGCGGGGCCGCCACTCAGGCACCTCGGGCTGCAAAGCTTCCTGTCGCACCGCTACCCGCCGGACCTGTGGAACCGCCGCCGATGCCGCAACGGGCAACTCCGGGGGCGACTCCTGCCGTATCGTCCTCATCCGCTTCACTTGTATCATCGGCCAGTGCAGCCGCGCCTGTAGCGGTGGGGGTAGACGCTCAAGGCCGCATCGGCAAGGCGCCGGCGCCAGTTGGCAAAGCAGCAGCAGCAGCAGCTCCGGCCGTTGCAGCCAGCAATGTCGCAGCCGGCACGGTAGCAACGACACGTGTGGGTACGGGAAGCGGGAGCGCGGTGGGCGGGTCATCTGGGGTGGGAGTTGCTGGCGGCATGGGTCGTGGGGGCGGCAACGGCGGTACCTTGGCGGCGGCTGTGGGTGCCACCCCAGCGGGCGCTGCTGCTGCTGCTGCTCCAGGCGCTGCTGCCGCTCAGCCGCCTGCGACCGCCTCCAAGCTGAACCCACAGGTGCCGGGGACTCGTGTCCTGGGCTTTGCTGAGCGGGTACCGGGTCTAGCGAGTATCTACCGAGAGCCGTTGAAACCCTTGAGTTGTGAGGAATGTAACCTCGTGCATGGAGAGCTTGATGAAGTTGAAGAAGATGATGAGAGGGCCGTTTGTGACGTGCGTCCACTCTGCATGTGGCCTTTCTTTCCCAGTTTTCTGCTCCCTTGTCTCCTTGGCTTGCACCCACCCAACTCCCCCAACCCCCCTCCCCTCCTCCCGTCCCACAGGCGCACGAGTTTGTGCCCACCAGAGCATGCCCGCCGGCCGCAGCCCAGGGCGCCCGCACCACCACCCCATCATCAACCTCCGCCGCCACTGCTGCCGCTTCAGCCGGATCCACCGCTGCCGTACACCTCACCGTCCCCAGTGTGCATGTAGCTCCGGGTGCTGGTGCGGGTGCGGCTCATGCTTCCGGACCTGTCGCCGCCGCTCATGACGGTACCGGTAACGCCGGGGCCACTCGACCGCTGCATGGCGCTGCAGCGGCTCCTCAGGCCCCCTCTGGTTACGCCCAAGCTGTCGGCGGCAGCAGGGCGCCGTCGGGTCGAGGAGTTGCCGCCTCCTCCTCCACAGCAGTGCCGCCGACCACTGGCGCAACAGCCGCCTCAACGCCGTCACGGTCCTCCGTACCACCACCGGGCGCTGGAGCAGCCGCAGCGGCCACTAGCAGCGGCCTGCTGTCGCCCTTCCAGACGCCGGGCAGCTACTCCTCCGCCGTACATCGGTCGCCGGCCGTACATGCCGTACAAGGTACTGCACGAGGCGGCGGGGCGACGGGAGCACCGGGGGGTTTGTCGCATGGCTCGCCGCTGCCCTCGCACCTGCAGCACCATGCCTCCCAACAGCAGCAGCAGCAACAACAACAACAACAGCCCCCGGCTTCGCCGGTGGCTCAGGTCATGTCTTGGCAGGCCGTACAGCCTATCCAGGTTCTGTCCTCACCCATCCGTCGGCTACCAGATCTGCCGGACCTCTACCGTGCCATGGTTTCGCCGTACTGTTCGTACATGCAGCACTCGCCGCGCGTGACGTCGACGGCCGGCGCCGCTGCTGCTGCGGCGGCGGCAGCTGCCAGTGCCGCCGTGTCGGCGTCGGCCGCCGCTGTAGCTGCGGCGACAGCAGCTGCTGTGGCGGAGGCGCAGGCCGCATCCGCAGCCGCCAAGCATCAACATCAGCAGCAACAACAGCAACACAGGCAGTCGAATGGGGGTTCCAGTTCCGTCACGCACGCACCCAGCGCTTCCTCTAGCGGCTCTTCACCGGAACGTCAGCGCTGCGACTCCTCGACTTCCGCCTCCGCAGCGCCTCCGCCGTACAACCCGCTCGCGGCGCCGCTGCCGCACCTCTCCATGCTTCCGCATGGGCTGTTTTGCGGGGAGCAGCTCATAAGGCCCACTTGCACCCGGCTGTGGGGCCTGGATCCACTGCAGCAACTTCGAGCCACGCAGACCTCACTAGAAGCCACCATTGCTGCGGCGTTTGGCGTACCTGGGTACCTGACGGCGACGCATCCCCTGCCAGACGCCGTTGCCGGCGCTGCTATTGGCGGCGTCAACACTGGAGATGGTTCCATGGGTGCGGCAGGCTGTGATGGGGGTATGAGCGGTCATGCGGCTGGCGGGATGGAGGGAGTGGTGGAAGGCGGCATGGCTGGTGGCATGGGCGGTGGTCGCATGCGGATGCGAAGCAGCAGCAGCGGCGGGGGTGGCGGCGGTAGGATGAGCAGTAGCGGCGGCGGAGCGATGAGCTCGGGTGTGGTGCGGGCTCTGCACAGCATCTTTGCGGAGGAGGACCTGGAGGAGGCCCAGCAACAGCAGCAGCAGCCACCGCTGCAGCGGCAGCTGTTGCAGCACCACCAGCAGCAGCAGCAGCAGCGGGAGGGTGAGAGGGAGCGGCAGCAGCAACAGCAACAACAGCAGCAGCAGGAGCTCCTAAGAGCCTCACTTGCAGCCGCACCTGCAGGACCTCAGACATCAGCCGGGCATCAAGCCATGTCAGCAGCCGCACCGCCGCCGCCGCAGCAGCCTCAAGCTCCCACGTCCGCGGTGCCGCCTGCACCCATGTCGGGCCCGGTGCCTGTGCCGTCATCGTCAGCAGCGGTGGCAGCAGGCGGCAGGGGGCCCCGCTCACGCGCCCCCAGTCCTTCCCTGTTGGACCAGCCGCCGCTGCCTCACCCGCGGATGGTGGTGGGGTCTGCCGGCGGCTACCGGCATCCGCAGCCTCAGCTCCACCACTACCAGCAGCAGCAGCAGCACCACCAGCAGCAGCAGCACTGGGAGCCGGGGTTACCCCCTCGAGGCGGCATCGGACACCCGCCAGGGTTCCACCCGCTGTACGGCCATGACTGGTAAGTTCATAACCGCTGTGCCCTTGTTGTAGACTTCTAGAGTTCTTCTATATATAGAGACAAGGCGTCCTTCAACCCTTACTGTAACCCTCACTCCAATCTTCCTGCAACCCTCACCTCCAACCCTCACCAACCAGGCGGGGTGCCGTCATCCGGCTCTTCACGGGTGCCTGCACCCCTAGCGTCCCCGCAGCAGCGCAGCCCGCCGTGGCAGCTGCCGCACTCTGGTGGACCGCTGTACGACAAGCCCCGGAACCCCAACCGCACAACGACGACGGATCGTCAACGGTTTCCAACGGTAACGGGAACGGCTCTGGCGGCGGGCGACACCCAAGGCTGCAGGGCCCGTCGGCCGGCGGCTGGCACGGCAAGGGCGGCCGCAGCAGCGGAGGTGGAGGGTCCGGCGGAGGCGGTATCGGTGGGGGTGTGGGCCATGTCGTGACGCAGTACGGCGGCAATAACGGCAGCCACATGCACGGCGGTCCGGGGCAGGCTGCGGGTCAGGGCCAGGGTCTGGTTGTGATGACTCAGCGAGTGCAGGTGGTGGGCCCTATGGATGCGGACTCCATGATTGCGGCATGTCTGCAGGTGCGTGGGTGAGGTGAAGTGCTGGGCTGATAAGGCGGGTAAGGGGCAGAGTAAGGAGGTGGGGAAGTGGAGCGTATCTTGCGGCAATGAGTCCGCATCTCAACACTTTGCCTGCTTCGAGCCCTCCTTGCGCAAATCCAAGCAACGAGCTCCACGTGTGCTCAGCCCATCCGCACGACCCTCCTTCCCTTTTCCTGCCGGGTCTGCCACAGCTCTTTGGTTTCTGCTTTTTATTTGATCCCGCTGCTCCCTTCTCGCTGCTCCTCACCCCCCCGCCCCTGCTGCCCCCCTCTCGCTGCTCCTCACCCCCCCGCCCCTGCTGCCCCCCTCTCGCTGCTCCTCACCCCCCCGCCCCTGCTGCCCCCCTCTCGCTGCTCCCAGGGTCGTCTGGCTCCTCACACGGAGGTGTGCGGCACGCTGGCGGGCCTGGTGGGTCCCCCGCCCCTGGAGCTGTTCGAGCCGCTGGGGGCGCTGCTGGCGCGGGTGCAGGGCGGCGTGGGCTGCTACCTGCTGGTGGAGGGCTGGTAGGAAGTAGGTTTGGGTTGCGGCTACCGGTACCATCGTTACGCGTTTGCAGAGTGTTCGGTGGTAGACGGCTGGGTACGAGGGCTGTGGTAGGGGGCTGAGAAGGAGGAGGGCTGAGCAGGTGTTTAGGATAACGAATGGAAGAGGAAATGGAAATGACAGGACAGGACGACTGTGGGAGGGATGGGAGGAGTCGAGAGGGTTGTGGTAAGTGGGCTTGTGCGTTAAGGCAGTCGCTGCGGCCGAAGGGTTGCTGGTGGTGTTAGCTGGGGATTGACGTAGGCATTTGCAGCAGGCAGCATGAGGTAGAGGTTGCAGCAGAGCAGAGCTGTAGCGAGTGTTGCGCCCGGCAGCAAGGATTGTTCGTTGCGGTCGCGGATACAGGAGACTCAGTGACACTGGATTAGGCCTTGCTGGCCCCAGGAGCTGCCGCCAAGAGTTGCAGGAGGGGTCGTTTCAGGGCAAGTAGGCTGCGTACGGCACATTATACGACTACGAGCGCTCTTTAGATTCCAGCTGCGTACGACAAGTTGGCATGGCGCGTGCGGAGGTTGCCGTACATGTGGCGTGCGTCGGCGGTTAGTTGGTCTTAGTCCGCAGGTGACACGGGGTGTGATAAGCAGGGCGAAGGCGCGCGTGGTGTATGGTTGCTTGCGCCTCGGACTGTCGAGGGCAGGGCAGGGGAGCAGGTGAAACGGTAACGGCATGACGGTACAATGACAGAATGGGGACAGGAAGGGGCTTTTAGGCGCTTAGGATTTGTAGTGGTGAGCGTCGGGCGGGTGGGCTTCAAGGTGAAGGAGCGGCTTCATCGACGGTATGGGTAGGAACGGATCGGGGTTTCCAGACTCCAGGTTTCATTCCGGTTTGTGGAATGTGGGACCCTAACAGATTGCATGGGGACGTGTTCATCGTTGGTATGCGGATACTGCAGATGATAGGTCCGGGTTGACTCCATGGGGTGAGAGGGTGCTGCTCTGCACAACTCTGCATAACGTTTAGGGACGGTGTTGGCGAAGCGAGTGGGCAGACGGATGCCCTTCCAAGTTGCCAAATGCCAGTCAGCAGCATTGCAGTTGCATTGCTTTAGGCTCTAGGCAAGGAGGAGGTCAGGGGCGTGTCTCGGACGCCGATGTTGGCTGACGCTTTGTATTCCTTTGGAGCGGTGCCAGTGACCGGGTGCCTGGACTACACAACACAACATGCATGATGTTCGCCAGTTCTCAAGACCCATGGGTCGCTTACGGGTATCCATGCAACTGGAATGTTGCCGTCCAGTTGCGTGCTGGTTGCTGGCACACACGCTCCATATGTAACACTAGTACACGGCTGAAGTCCGCCCTCAATCAATCCCTATTTGCTTTTCTCCCAACACGGTGCAACAGTTGTCGCCCTCCCAGGGGTCAACAGCGCTCTGTACGCCTGCTGTTATGGGCACTTGCCGTGATAGTGCCCCCCGCATGGGTGCGAGATGCGATCTGCTTGATCATGGCATGGAGGGTTGCTGGCGGCCCCACAGCCGCTGCCTTGGCCGGGAGCGGAGGAGGATGACTAGGAGGATGACTTTCAGCGACTAGGGGCCGTGCTGGTTCAGGAACTACCCGGAAAATGTGCGTTCAAGACTCTAGCTGGATAGATGCTGCGAGGGCTCCACAGTAGGATACTTCTAGCGTCCACGTCCGATGATTATAATCTGAGTTTGGGAAAACCTTATTAATGTATGTTCCTATCGCTGGCAAAGCTGCACTTGGCGACCCAACATGGGAGACATTGCAGTACGACGCGACCGCTCGTCCAAGCTGGCTAGCTTGCCTCTTTGTGCCCCTACACATCAGAGCAATACCACTCAATACGCGCAACAATACTGCTAAAGTAAAAGTATCTGAACTTGCAGACCTTGACATTAGCGTTGAAACTCATGTAAAGCGTCCAGTCGCGGACCTTAACCAGCTTACTATGTTCCACCTGAATGTGTGTGTTCAAGAGCTACTTTATGGCGAGCCCACAAACCATAGTAAATGTTGATTAGGACTCCTGACCGGAAACCAGCCAGAAGTACATTTTACTCGTTCAGGTTTTATGAACGGAATGCATTCAAAAGAATTTATGCAGACACCTCCGTCTACACCAGTTGGAGTTCGGGAGTGCGGGGCCTTTGAAGATGAGCAACAGGCTCCTTGTCCTTCTGGACGACCAATTGACCACTACACGCCGCCAGAGCACAAGCTCAGCAAGGCAAGCTTCCTTTGTTTGTAGCCGTATCGTTTGGGACCAGTTTTTAGCTTTGACTGCGCGGGGTGTCCATCTACGATTGCGAACCGCTAAAAACGATACTTCGCGCATGCCGTCTGCGAGCAGAGAGAGCTGGCTAACCGGCTTATCTACGCTGAAGCTAAGCGATGGTCCCTGGCGCATAAAAGGGTGCCGGCACCGCTGCCCCTACCGCTCGGCACGGAGCGTTGCATTCGGCAGTGGTTCCAACTGGTGGACGATAATGGATCGGGGTGAGCTACTTCGGCATTAAAGCTGTCTCTATACATATTGGCGCATCATTTGGCTCTGATGCCACCAGTTCAATTGTCAGTTGCACATGGGGGTTGCATGAGCCTCGACTGGCAGGGCTTAGCAACCCGTGGGAGATGCGCCCTATCAGCGCCCCATTTCCACCTGTGTTGTTGATAGGCTCTTTGCACGCTGCTAGGATGCGCGACAAACACGAGCCTTAACTGCCAATGACAAGCCTTACAATGTCTCCCTGCCTCCACTTCCCGGCAGACGTCTGGATGCCCAAGAGCTGGAGTTTGCCCTCCAGGTGTGTCACATGGTGCACGCGGTTGGTTACTGGGCGGGCTGGGCGGCAGTATTGCATACTAGGCCCCTAGCCCTCATCCAGCCTAGCACCTTGGGGTGGCTACACGCAGCTCGTGTCATGAAGAGATTTTCGCCTCCCACGACCCTCGTGCGTCGCCGTGTGCCCACAAACTGCTGGACTTCACAGCCGACCTCTCCCTCCTTATCCTGTTCCCGCCCTTCCCAGGCATCGGGCATTCCAGCGGACACTGAGGCCATCAAGGAAATCATCCAAATGGCGGGTGCTGGGTGGGGTGGGTGGGTGGGACGGATGAGAGGCACATGGGCCCTTAGTATTAGGTAGTTTGACGTTCTGGATGCTTCAGATGCTGCAAATGGCAACGTGTGTTGGAAGGGAGGATGCAGCTACCATGCCTCTTAAATACAATTTTTCTCCCGTCCGCTCAGACTTATTTTGCATCCTTTCTTGTTGCCCTAACTCCTTCCCCAGTTTGACTTTGACCACGACGGAGAGATCAACTGGCGCGAGTTCCACCACTTCCTCGTGAACGAGGTACGGCATACACGCGAGAGGGGAAGGGAAAGCTGTGCTAAGAAAGGGAGCAATGTAGCAAAACCTAACCGACAAGGCGCGATCCCCTTGTTGCTCGACACCATCGTTAGTTGCCTCGGGTGCCGGCGGCCAGAGAAGAAGGCACATGCTTGCATCAACGTAACCCCGATTTCCTTTCCCACCCCTTGTTGCTCGGTGCCTCAGATGATGGCGGACCGGGACCCGCTGGGACCCGACTACCTGCTGCCATCGGGTGGGTGCGACTACTGGGGTGGGAGGGGTGGCGGAAGTGGGCGGGGTGGCGGGAGCGGGAGGGGTAGCGGGATGGTGGTGGGATTCTCGTGCACCTGACCCTACCGCCTGGTCCCTCGCCTCCTCCACCAACCCTCAGGCACGTCCTTACCGTTTGGCAGTATGATTGGAGTCATCCGGCGGCGCAAGATGCTGAGCGATGTGGAGCGGGTGAGCTGAGGGACGTGTGCCTATGTGTGGGATGTAGGCACCCGCAGCAACAGGGCGGCGTCTACCTAGCGTGGCGCTGCCTAGAATGCCTTCTAGTGTGTGTTTCCTGGCTCCTAGAAGGGTTTGGGCTCGCGGCCCTGCCTATGCAGACAGAAGCACACCTTCTCGTCTGCAACCTCTGCTGGGACCTCCTTACAATTGAAACGGTTGCTTCTGCCCGCCCTGCGCTTGTTGCACCTCGCCCGTCTCGTCCCCCAGGGCGGCATAGCGCGGAGCTTCTGGGTCGTGCAGGGACCGGACTTCCTGCGGGGCCTGCTGGGGGCTGAGAGCTACGCCCTGCAGCGGGACGAAAACGGGTGAGACTCCTGCTTGGGTGGTCGTTAGCTTCTTTATGAGTGAGACACCTGTTACGTTGCCCTCTGCTGTCAGGCGGCTACAATGCTTAACCCCCACGTTTCTCCCTCACGTTTTCATCTCTCCCCTGCCCTTCTGTCCCCCTGCCCTCCTGGCCTCCCCCACCCCTCCCACCTCCAGTCGCGACCTGATGCAGCGCATCCAGGAGATCAAGCCGCCCACCAGCTGGGAGGCGAGTCCGGAGGCGCTCGAGGAGCACAAGAAGCGCATTGATCGACTGAAGCTCTTCCTGGAGAGGACCTCTAGCTGCGGAGGAGGAGACTCGGAGGAGGAGGAGGAGGATGACGAGGGGTCGGACGACCAACGGCGCTCGAGGAGTGGCGGTCGGTGCTCTGTTACTGGGGGCGGCAGTGGAAAGACCCATGGGTCGGTTTGCGGGTCGCGGCGGAGCAGCATGGCGGGAGGGCCTGCTAGTACGACTCAGCGCCGCCGGCGGAGTAGCAGCGTCACTGGAGAGGGTTTCGGGGCGGGTCGGAGACGCAGCTCTTGTGCTGGTGAGGGAGGAGCGGGGGAGGGGGGCAGGGGTTGCAGCAGCGGCAGCGGGAGTGGGAGCGGCAGGTTTAACAGCAAGTGGCTTCGGAGGAGCAAGACGGGGGACGGGTCTGACGGCCGGTGCGGGTCCCCGCCGGACGTGAAGGAGCACGTGAGCGGCCCTACGGACGCCAGCAGCAGCAGCAATGCCGGCGAGTACGGCATGCAGGTGGCGGCGGAGTGCGGCCGGCGGCCTACTCGGGTTCAGGTGCGGTTTGCGGAGGCCATGGCAGCTGCTGAGGCCGCACTTGCAGCTGAAGACGAGCGACAGAACCAGCGGCAACAGCGGCAGCAACAGCACAAGGAGCAGCAACAGCAACAGCAGCATCAACAACAGCAGTCTGAGCGGCACAGCAGCGGCTGCCCTCCTCCCTCCCCACAAGGCGGTTCCTCCCATAACGCCCCAACCGCCTCGGACTTCTTAACGGAAGTTTCCGGCGGCAGCCAGGCTACAGCGTGTCCAGTCGCTGTAGCCCCCACTCCCAGTGCTGCTCCCGCTGCTGCTGTGGCAACGCCACCGCCGTCTCCCCCGCCACCGCCGCCAAGGTCAGTTGTTGCGGCGGAAGCACGAACCGCAGAAACGCAGACCAATGCCATGCGACGCCTCGAGCAGCTTCTAGAGCGACACCGCCAGCGTGCCGGCTCTCCGAAACCTCGTTGGGGTGTGGAGGAGCGGGCGGGCGGCCAGACAGGCCCTGTGGCGCTCTCCAGCAACCGAGCTCGCAGCCCCATGCCCCCGGTGGTGGCGCCGGTGCGTGCGTCCGAGGCCGCGGGGCCTCCCCGGGTGCTGAGCTCCTCCGCTGCTGCGTTGCTGCTGATGGCTGAGCAGCAGCAGCAGCAGCGGGCGGGGAGCTGCAGAGGACACGCGGGGGAGGGTGAGGCGGGGGGTGCTGCGGGTGCGGCTGAGGAGCGGCATGGAAGCAGCGGCAGCAGTGCGGATGCCATGGTAGCGGAGTGCGGGGAGGGCATGGGGGCGCGTCGGAGGTTCCTGCATGAAGCCACGTTTCGCAGCTACGTGGGCGGGGAGGTGGGGGCCGGCGCGGAGGAGGGGGGCAGCGGGCTGATCCAGGTGGTGGAGGAGGATGTGCGTACGACAGAGGACGATGAGGGCGACACCGTGCGGAATGAAGAAGAGGTCGAGTCTGCGTCGTTGGCATCCCTGGCGTCGGATGTGAGCCTGACGCCGCCGCCCTCGCCGTTTGTCGTTGAGACGCCCGAGCTGCCCTTTTCCTCCAGCGGCAACGGCGGCAACGGCCTAGGCTGTTACTTCATGGGTCAATCGCCGCACAAAGACGAGCCGCATGCGCTTGCTGCGACCGGTACGGCAAGGCCTGCGTCCTGTCCGTTGGTCGCGCCGTTGCTGGTGCTGAAGGAACGTCACACGCGGGGTCTCTGCTGTTCTGGGCCGTACAGTGCGCGATTCGCCCGCTCCACCGGCGTCTTGGGCCAATCGCCCAGCCCAAGCCCGCCGTCCCACAGTGCCAAGGGGTTCCGAAGCGCGCGGTCCACTGGCGACGGTGATGGCGGTGCTGCCGATTGCAGCACAGCGTGCATGGGTAGCTCCTTAACGGGTTTGGCCCCAACCCTGTCGCCGGGCACATCCTTCCATGGCGCGCATGCTTACTTTGCTAACCGACCGAGCAGAGCAACCGCTGGCGGTTGCCTAGAAACGGCTGCTTCTCATCCTTCTTCTGGAGGCCCTGCTTGTCAGAACGGCTCGTTGCATGCACCTTGTGGTGCCGGACAGGAGCCGCGGCTGCCGCCTCGTCCGCCTTCACCGCAGTGCCGAGTGGGCAGCGGCCGAGCCGGGGCTGTAGCGGCGGCGGCTGACATTCGTCGTCGCGCATGGGGCGCATCCCCAGCCTCGAGCCCACGTCAGAGCTGCAGCAACCGCAGCATCTGCAACAGCCCCCAACCGCCGCCATCACCACCCAGCCGCGCGATGTCAGACAACAACCACCCCAACGTCCTGTCGCCGGATCTCTGTGTACAGGGCAGCCGTGCTGCCTCCTTCAACCGAGGCAGGTTCCTTTACGAAGTACGGCACTCGCTCACCGCACATGATGGCGCAGCAGGCCAGGTTTCTACACAGGGGTCCCTGCCGACCCGTGGGTCACATGGGTCAGCGACTACCCCTCGTTTAAAGGAGGAAGGCGCCAATGGCATGTCTCAGTCTTGGTTGATTTCGTCCCCATCGTCATCTCGGCCCGCCACGCCCCAACGACAGCAACCATCGCGCCCCAGCACACCCCAACGACAGCAACCCTCCCGACCCTGCACACCGCAACGGCAGCAGCCCTCCCGTCCCAACACGCCCCAAAGAGTCCAGCACGGCCTTCAAGGGGGCTCACTCGTGGTCAAGCCAAGTCCCCCTGCCTCTGTCAGCGGCAGCGACTGCGGCTTTCATAGGAGCTCCGCTGCATCTGAGCTGCTTGCTGCTAGCGGCTCATCAGAGCCTCGAGGCGGTTCGGAGGCGCATGCGACGACGCAGAAACAAGGGGCAGCAGCTCACAAGGAGGTCATGGTGGCGGGTATTTACGGTCGACTCATGCGGAACTGTCTGGCGACATCGTTACGGGGGTCGGGGCAACCGGAATCGCAAGCCGCAGTCCGAGCGAAGGCGATTGAGGTCGCCGCGTCGACCACATTTGGCGGTATTAGTCCTAGACGGTTGCGTGTGGGGAAGGCATGAAAGAATGCGGGACAAGAGTGACGTGGATTGAGTCGTGTAATGGTTGAGGCAGTACGGCATGCATGGATCTTGAGTCGGTATCGAAACTGTGCATATATCATTGTGTTGGCTATTGCGGCCGCCGTGTGGAGCGAGCCGCCGGCCCTTTTGTATCTTTCTCCTTTTTGTCTATACGTTTGCTGGTGAATTCATTCGCGCTGTTGCTCCGTTGATTGATAGTGAGCTGTGTAGCAAGTTGGAGAGGCAGGACGACTCTGCGGTACGGCTCTATTTGCAGGAGTAAGCGCGGGGCAGATGCCCATGGTAGGTGTTTTTGCGGTGTTGCTACGGCTTTTATTTCGCCAAATGTACCTTCCTCTTTTTACCCTCGTTTGTGTGAGCAGGGCGGCTATATATGTACAATTAACATAAAGCGCTTTGCTTCAGTACTGTGGACGAAAGTTGTAAATGCGTCGTCTGTTTAGAGGACGTTGCGGGTGCGGTTAGGACCAACTGACATGTGTCTGAGTTCATAAGGACTGGGATGATGGGGATTTTCTTACCCTGTTTACGTGTTTAGAGGTGCTCCTCGTGATTAGACGACCGTATTGGATTCCCTTGGAAGGGGACAGCTAGCGGCGCTGGTGCCGTACAACTCGTTGCCGAATGGGACCACGCTGCAAAGGTCATGCTGTGATGAGTGCATGCCAAGCAAGCTACGGTTGTACGGACATGTGCAATAAATGTCGAGCGCTGAACAGGTAATGGAATCCATTAATGGACTGTACTGGGTGATGACGGCATGTTGGCTGAGCAAGCGCGTGAGCGGGACCCTTCTCTTTGTGTCTGACCTTCACCTAACCTGGAAAGGTTAACTGTCGTTTATCGCTTAAGCATCGTAACGGAGGGTTTAGCTGGAATGCTTATTCATCCTTGGAGGGCTTCAGCACTGCGCGTATGTAATGCGACTGTATGTTGCGTACATAGTGCATGTACGCCGCATGTGAGGTGCCGTTGATACATGCCTCCCATGAAAGGTACCGCAGTACCGGTATCTACTGGCGAGCTGTAGCCCATGCCCCAACACATCAGTTCGGCTCAGCTTACGGTACGACCCGTACGAGTCTAAAATCCGAGCGCAGGACAACTCTTACAACTTGCATGTGCAACGTCTCACTGCAGACGCATTGTCTCGGCAACGCGCCGTGGGTCAACACCGACTAGATGCAACTATACCTAAGCCTCGTAATGTGCATCGCAACATCCTGAACGCAGCAAAGGAAGGCCGAACCGAAGTCCTCCACCCAAGAATGTTCAGACCTTGCAACGGCGCCGCATGCAGTCCTTCATCTGCGTACTCAAATGTAGCTGGTGCTTACGAACGTACACGGGCAAACCAGGGGCAATATCCTGTACCTCGGAGGCGGCAGCAGAACAGCACACGGCGACAAGCTCTCGAGCAGTAGCATCAGGAATCATGCAAGGAGCCACAACACCCCGCACCTATACATAAGGGTCGGATCCTACGGCCTATTAGGGTCGGCTCCTCCCAACCAACATACACACAACCAGCCAACCTCCTCAAGTCAAAGCTTGCCAAACCGACCCATGGGTCCAAAACAAACACCTACTTCCCGCTAGCCAGTAGGCATTTTTCCTACAACCTGCCCTAACCGTGCTGCGCCGCAAAGACAGAGGCCCCTTCTCACACCTCTTCCCTCTCAGTTGCTACCACCACCGCCACCGCTGCCGCCTCCGGCACCTCGGGCCTCGCTCTCGTGGCGGTCGCCCGCGCTCTGAGCCCGTGCGGCGAAGGAGTCCTTGCCGGTATCCTGGCCGGACTTAGCCTGGCTTGACTGGATGCGGGAGGCATCGCCCTTGGTCATGGAGTGGCCGCCATTGGTCATTGTTGCAGGCTTGGGTGTAGGGTGGTGGAGCGGTGGAGGCTTTCAGGGGTCGAAGTAAGACAGGAAGCAGAGCGCTGGTTGGGATTAGCAGCAACAGTGTAGCAACTTGTAGGAGCGTGGAGTAATTGCAGTATGGGGAGAACCGCTATTCGCTTTATGCCAAAAGAACATGGAGCATGCCTTCTTTTTGACATCCGCTAGCGTCCCCTGTTTGTACTGCAGACGCAACCTTGGTACCTCATGCAAAGGTGGGTTTCACGGCCATGCGTCACAGGTTCGCACAGGTTCTAAAATCACCACGGGTAAATCACCACGGGCGAAAAAAGGTTCAGTAACCGGCTAGCCTGCGTCTCGTAGGAAGTCGTTTGCTTGTTTCAGCATAACAATTTCGGTATGACCTGTAATGCCTGAAACCATTGCAGCATAACGCTTACACCTTGCATGTGCCACGTCTTTGCACATGCCGCTGTTCCCCATTCGTCAACATCAACAGTACGTCCACATGGCCTGCCTTCCGTGTACACCATTCTCTATAAGCAACGCAGCCCCATGCACCGCAACGGCGAACCAAGCTCCAAACGGAAACACAACACCAACCAACATTGTTTGGGCTCCGGGCTCCGGGCTCATGACAGTGGCTACGGCGTAAAGCCGTCCCCCGCGTGCCTAGGCTAAGACATTTCATGCACGCGAAAGCACAACCTAACACCATCGGTCACTCGGTGCCGGAAGTAGGACGATGCAAGTGAACAGAGCAGCAACAGAAACAGCAGGATTCTTGTGTATAGCCATGCATGGAAACCCCGGGCATAGCGCCGCGCATTACGGCCCGCAACACACGAAACGAGACGGTTACCATTCCTTACGATACGCCGGTATACTCATGTTCATACCCGCCGACCCATGGGTCCACCGCACAGCTGCTCTTCCCCAAACACCCCTCACTGGCTACGCTATCCGATTCGTACGGCGAATGCGCCTCTATCTCGCCCCTATCCAGCCGTACCACGTTACGCAGATGTACAGCCGCCCCATCTCATACCGGTTCCTCTTGCGCCATCTCAGTAGTCGCCCTCCTGCTGCCGCTCGTTCTCATGGCGGTCAGCGGCGCTCTGGGCTCGAGCGGGGAAGGAGCCCCTGCCGGTGTAGTGCCCCTCGCGAGCCTGGGTCGACTGAATGCGCGCCGCGTCGTCCTTGGTCATCATTCGACCGCCGCCGCCGCCGCCACTGCCGCCACCCCAGCTGCCGGCGGAGTCGTCGTCTCGGTGCATCTCGTTCTCGTGACGGTCAGCGGCGCTCTGAGCACGAGCAGCGAAGGAGCCTTTGCCGGTGTCGTGGCCGGACTTAGCCTGGCTGGACTGGATGCGGGAGGCATCGTCCTTGCTCATGGTTCCCGTCATTGTCGAGGCTTCGCTGGTAACGCAGAGGCGGCGGCGGTACCGGTAGAACAGATGAAGGAATAGCAATGCGGCGGGTTGGGCGGAAACGAAGGAGTTAACGATATGCGGACGCTGTTTAAACGTTGAAGACAGGGGTATGTAGAAGTGAAGTGCTTGGAGTTAACCGGAAATGTGTTATTAGCAGTCGCCGAATGCTACGTACGCCGAAGCTTACGAAGGATGATCTGTCCATCCGTTCGCATGGCGGCGGCGGCTGACTCTGATCCGAATAGGCCTCGTTAGGTCAGGTGGTGCAATGCCAGCCACTACATGGTAAGATCATGGCAATTCAGGATACATGATAACGGCTTTGAAAGCTTTTGTGGCAAGTTGCGCATGTTGCTTAAGCATGCTCCTCTTTCACTTACGGTAGTCAACGTGCCGTCACAGCTGCAAGACGGACGGGCACGGAAGCCCCATGCATTGCTGGCGCCAAACATCCCAACGTGCACAGCAGCAGCACATGCTCGCAAAACCTGACACACAGGACAGCAGTGAGTGTCACGCCCGGAGAGGAAGCTACTTGCGTGTTCTAATACTGGAGAGTCTCAGGCTTGCATGCGGGGCGGCTGCCGGGGCCTTGGGCTGTCGCAATGGGGTGCCAAACGCGTATGTGACAGCAAGAATACGGCATGCCTTCATAAGTGCTTTCTTTCATTAGTAGGGAGCGCTTGTGTTTTACCCACTAAGTTACCTTTACCAGTCGAATCCCAGTGTCTTTAGAATCCAACGTTAACCAATTACTAAACGCGTACATGCACAACTGTGTGTAAGCGACACATGGAAAGAAGCAGCTATTTACGGGCGCGTACCGTGCTCATGCGTATTTCGGTAGGCAGGACACGACAACCGCCAGGTTTCCGTACGACAAATGTACGACTAGGGCGTACGTCCGCTACCAAGATAGAGCTGCTCGCTTCCCATAAAACTCAGCCCCTTGGGTGCGACCAATCAGGGCCGCCGCTGTTCTGCATGTTCGCAAACCTAATTGGAACACATAGGACAGCAAGCAAAGGGCTAGATAGGTAATCGAGCCTCGTAACGATAGCAACAGCGCACAGCATGAAGTCAATACTGCAGCTAATAAGACCGAGGTTCACAACCAAGCGAGTCCTAAGACTTATAAACCGCACGCACGCACCATGGCTATGGCCTCTACGCAATCCGCTATCTGACATAGCACCAGCAGTCCATAATCAGGCTGACTGACCCATGGGTCGGTTGCGGCTAGCACTTGCCGTACGATGATGTAAGCAAGCTGCCTCCTCCTACTACTTAGCCGCAACAGGGTGCCGCTCGTATGTCCATGCTAGAGGCTGCCTTAGAAGAATGAAGGATGTAAGACTTCAGGCGAAAGCACTTGCAGAGTGTGGCTCCGAGAGCCCTGCGGAAGGTAGGGACAGCGGCGAGGAAGGGTAAGATGAGTGCTGAGTACGGCCGATGAAGAAGTACGGCCAATAAAGAAACGACCGCAAAGACACAGGAGTCTCGGTTCTTCGGCGTCTGACTACAACCCCGCAAGGCGCTCTGTAGTCATCAACCGGCATCCGGTTGATGACTAACCATCAACTGCAGCTTTTAGCGCACCAGTCCTGCACACATGCATTACCCCAGTGCAACAGCTACACCCACCTACGCATGCAGCCTACTTGGCTGCGTTGTCCTTGCCCTGCGCCGCCAGCTCGGCATCCCGCATGGCCTGCTCGCTGCCGCCTCCGCCCTCCCGCCCCGCATTGGCACCGCCACCACCACCACCGCCTCCCGCCGCCTCCGCTCCGCTGCGCTCTTCTGCCTGCACACGCCGAGCCTCACGCATCACCGCCGCAATGCCATCTCGCTCGCGATGCTGCAACCCCTCGCGGTCGTCGGAAATGACCCGTGGGCCACTCGCATCCGCTCGCGCCTGCGCCGCTGCCGCTAGGGGATCATCTGCGCCATTCACGCCCTCCGTAGTGCCAATGAGACCCGACCAGACCTGGTTGTCTAGAGCAGCGGCGGGCGTGGTAGCTGTAGCTAAATGGAATGTTGAATCGCTGACTTGCTTTGCGGCGTCGCCTTGCGCGTTGAGACCGACGACGGGCTCCGTATTGCTGGTTGCGTGGCTGGGCTCAAAGCGGGAGACGCCCTGGGTCTCGCTAATATCCATTAGTGTGGTAGTAATAATGGGGGAGGAATAAGGGCTGGAAGCGCCTGAGAGAGTTATAGATAGATATTGAATTGCGCGACTTCTGTTGGGCTGTCGGAACGAAAGCGCCTAGGATACTGGTAGTGGTATTATTTTTTGTGTCTAGCTTCTATTGCCTGTAAACGTATACAAGCTATGTAACTGAGCTCTGATGAAACAGTGGGGATATCGTGCAGACTGCAAAATGCCGCAATGCCGTAACTCAATCAGCACGAGAGCCTTTGAGAAGACACTGTTACAATCTGCATATCTCCAAGTCAACGTTGGGAACAACAACTTGTCAAAGCACACGTCCAACGGCCCCTGGGTCGTCAATTGCACCCGCCCAAAGCGGCCTCCCGCAACTCCCTGCAACCTAACCAACCCTTTTGCTTGCGTATACACCATTCCCAGCTCACAATTTCCTCTCCACATTCATCATACTTCTTGGCTTTTGCGTATTGTCGCGCCCTCATTCCTGCTGGCTGCCGCTTCCCGCGTCCCTGCCGCCCTCCTCCCAAAGCGGCCTGCTGCCCCCTCCCGTCGTATCCATCCCCTCCAGCGCGCTGTACTCCACCGCGTCCGTCGCCGCAATGCCGCCTCCCACGTCGGGGCCTCGCTGCCCGGCTCGAGGCATCAGCTCGCCCGTGGTTGCGCGCCCAGCACCTGGCTCGATCTGGAAAGAATCGGTGTCGGCTGAGTGATCCTCCTTTCGCTGCCTGGTCTCGCTCATTGTGTTCGTTGCGTGATAAGTAGTACTATATTTGAGAGGATAAACCGATCCAGTGGATATCTTGATGGGTTGCGCCTTGTTGGAGAGGCAAGTTAGGCAGAGAATCGAGTCATTTGACAGCAGCAGGCGTACAATGCGTCATCGCGACCGCAATCCATATTCTTTGCCCTCGTAAGCTGTCAGCTCACTACAGTTGCTGGTACACTTCAGTCCTTTCTAGCCCCTACCGACCAAAGAGCCCTTTCTCCATACCGGTATTCAAAGCGCGCTTACCTTCCTAGCAAATCAGCATTTGACCGCTTCCTTCAATCCTTCCCCTCTTCCAAACCATTCCTAGCAACTGATAAGTAAAGCACTCATGGCTAGCGGCGGCTACACAGATGACAAGACGCTCGGCGGCGGCATCGGCCTCACCAGCGCAGCAGGCATCGGCGCTGCGGGCACCACCACCGCCGGCGAAGGCCCTGGCAAGCCCATCGGCGGGGGGGAGAGCACCTACTCCTCCTCCGGCGGGCCGCAGTACGGCGGTCGGCAGCTGCATGCTGACGTGGGCAGCTTCGAGGGCACCACCTCCGCAATCGGCGGTCGCGGGGCGGATGTGAGCGGCGGCGAGGGCATTGTGGGGTTTGAGACGGGCGGTGTGGGTGGGGCGAGTGCGCCGGCGGTGACGCAGCCGGGGCGCGGAAACGCCAACACGTCAGTGGGGGACTCTAGCTACGTGCGCTAGGGGGTGGGGGGTAGGGTGGAGTGGCATGCGCCGAGGGCAGGGCTGGGGAGAGGCCGCATGTGTCTGGGAGGCAGAAGGGGACAGGGATGAGGTGCACCAGGAGCATACATAGGGCCCACAATCTGTACCTTACAGATGGTGTGGTGCATGGGGCATGCGGGGTGCTGCTTCAACCACGGGGCTGCTGCTGGGTGGTGGTGCTGGTGGGTGAAAGACCCTTGGGTCGCTCAGCGACGGAGTTGAGTTGTTGATGATAGACTGACGCAGTTGGGCTTCAGCGGCCGTTTGTCAGTTGTAACCATGCATGCATGCGTGCCAATCGGTGGCAAAGCGCCGATGTGTGCTGCACTACTTGCAGGAAGGCCTCGGTTACCGTTACCATTTACCAGACAGGCAAATGATCCCACACAGCAGAGCGCGTCCACTTCTGTGCAACGCGCACTACTCACTTGGAGAAGATATAGCCAAGGATACCGGGTTTGGCGAACTTTTCGCAGGGTAAGTTGGGGCGGGGAGCCAGATTACCACCCGCACATGGCATAGCATGCGAAAGCCTACTACACGTGTGTGACTGGGCATTCTTGCCTGAAGTGGACAGCAGGCAATCCTGGGTGGCTTGCTGAGCCTGGTTGGTTTGTGGGAACGAAGTTAGCGCAAAAGAATGGCAGTGTCTTGCCAGCGTCAAACACGCGCCAGGGAATGAGCGACGAAGACACCAGTTCTGTTCGAGATGTAAGCCAATCGTTACTGCATCACAACGCCTTTAACGAGTGCGTTGGTAGTGCCTTTTCCTGGAAAGTTCGGTTTGTCGCCAGGCATGTACGGCATAATCCTGGTGGTAACGACGCGTTCAATACAACAGATAGCGACAACATTTGCATTTTAGCTGGAAGCTGTCAGCACTGAATAACGGAACTAAGATGCAGTCCCTTCGCGCTCCTGTATCAATTCGGCCATGCAAGCTTACTAGGCCAGTGTTCGCGCCAGTACGCGCGCCAGCTTGCGTTGTGCGCCAGCGAAGAGTTGATGTCCATGCCGTAAAGCAATGGTGAGTGTGCAGCAGACATGTAGGAGCTTCACCCGGAAATGGATAAGGCTCGACAACCATTGGCTGTTGTCCCAGGCCGGACCCTGAGTTTATTAAGGAGACGCTTGCACAGTTCCCAGATAAGGGCATCGCGACCGTTGAGGAGGCCAGGGTAAGTGATTTGTCAGCAGCGAACTTGGCATGGCAATGCCTTGCTCGCCAGTCGAGTCGCTATGCTTCATGCTAGGCGCTACGGCCTTCTTTTTCACTATGGAAATGTAAAACAACCATAGCTGCTGCCTCGGGGTGCCTCCTGCGCAATTCCTTCCTAACATCATCGCCTCCCCGACAATGGCCTGTCCATCCAGTGCCTGTTTTCCAACGGCGGCTATGTATGGCTGGATGTGCGCTCGGAACTGGAGAACGAGGAGGTCGGCAAGGTGAAGGGCAGCGTCAACGTGCCCTTCGTACACCTCAAGCGCGTGTACGACCCAGAGAAGCGGGAGCGGATCATGAAGAAGACGCCCAACCCCGACTTCGTTAAAATGGTGGGTCGTCGCCATGTGTCGGGTGTGATGTCATGATGCATAGAAGGACTTCAATGGACTTCACCCCCACAACCATCATGACAAAGAACGACACACGCCCGCAGCCCTGCCCCTCCTGCCCACGTGTTCCCCTCATGCAACATGTTACACCTGCCCCCACGTCTTGCCCTGCCACACCAACTACCTCACCCCAAGCCCTGCTACACTTCCTCATCATTGTCATACCCTCCCACCCACCCATCCGCCCGCCCGCCCACCCACCCACGTCGGCAACCCCACCTCGTCCAGGTTGAGAAGCGCTTCCCCAACAAGGACGCCAAACTCATGGTGGGCTGCTCCAACGGCAAGGCCTACTCCATAGACGCCCTAGAAGCTCTGGACGAGGCCGGATACACCAACCTGACCTTTGTGCGCGGCGGTTACAACGCCTGGTTCCGAGTCTTCGACAACAAACTCAACCGCCGCAACTACGGGGAATACCAGGAGCGGTACGACGGGCATGACCAGCTGTCCATGGGGGATAGCGCGGGGATCCATGCTTCGGGTGCGGGTTTCGACAAGGTGGACAAGGCGGATCGCTGGTCGCTGCCGGTGTATTGAGGGATGGCCCGGATGGGCGGGACCTTGCTTGACGCAGGGGCACGCACGGTAGCACGGTTATGTGCAGCTTATGCACATGTGCATGGTAGGTAGCGGATGAGGTATAGCAGTGGGCGGTGGAGGTGATGAGGGTGCGGTTGTCAGAAGGGGTGAAAGTTGTTGGTGGCGGGGTAGGTTTGCTGTGCATGGGAGCTAGGTGGTTGCAGGCGTGAAGGGCCCGGGGGATGCGGGCAGCTGCGGGGGGATGCGCGAATGCCGGATGGTGACAGAGGCAGCGAGGCGATACCCTCATGATGTACGATGTTGTAGCATTAGGTGTGCATTTGAACTATAATTGACGGCCCTTCTTGAAGTGGTGCCGGAATGTTTGACTTTCTGGCTTTGCCGGTACCTTCACACGCCTTGTATGTACGCATTTAACATGACGTGTCCGACATACCGGAAGGCCTAATCCAACCTCTCCTCCCTCCTCCTCGCGGAGCAGAGGCATGAAGCCTATGTGACACGCGGCACATGTGGCAGACACTATGCCCATGTGGCATGTCGTACGTTGCGGGTTACCATGCGCCGAAAGGTATCGTAGGAGGAATAGGGCAGAGCATCTGTAGTCGCGTGTATGCAGTGGCTGCGGGCTCCTAGGGAACCGCGCTCCCTTGGGACACGGGTTCTGCTTAAGCAGGCATCGAGGCATGTGAACGGCAGTGGTATGGCAGTACGGCACGAAGGCTGACGTACGGCTGTGGTTCTGGGGCTATATGGAGGCCCTGACACCTGCATAGTGCGAGGCATCGGACTTGAGGCGTTGGTTAAATCGCAAAATGTTCCTCTTGCTAAGAAAGAGCGACCGTAAAGCAAATGCAAATCCGCGCCTTCTCGGCATTGATGACCCAGTGGTCTTGGACGAGCAAAGAAGTAAACTTCTGCACAGCCAAAGCTTTCACGACACTGCTGGCTTTAGAGCACTATCGCATAGCAGGTATTCGGAAACTGCGTCATAACCTGCCGGAAAGCTATCAACTGCTGTCGCGTTATAACTAGCCTAACGAGACATCGCCTGAGTCGCTTCTTCCAAGTTTCTGGAAACCAACCATGAGTGATAACGTTCCACCGGACCTTGCTGCAAAAGAAATGGAAGCCGAGCTCGCCGAGAAGGCATCGGAGGATGATGCGGAGCCTAGCAGTGGACCAGCCAGCGCAGAGCCGGCTGCGCCGGTGGAGGAGGTCGCCTTTAAGATACAGTTCGGGAAGAACAACTCGGATGTTAAGCGGCCATATGATTCCACAGTCGGCGAATTGAAAGGCGAAATCGAGAAACAGCTGGGCATTCCCTCGAAGCTCCAGAAGCTCATGTGCAAGGGATCTGCTCTCAAGGACGATGGTGCCACTCTGCGGCAGGTGATCTTGAGGATTAGAGTGTCAAGCTTGCGTCGCTCATGCAACATCGCAGCCGGATAGCAGCTAGTGACGCTTTTAGCCATGGCACTTACTCAGCTTGGCTATTCAAACATATATATGTGCCAGGCGTGACGTTGAAGAGCATCCGCTTGTCCTGCTGCTGCTCATCATCTGCCACAGGCGGGTCTGAAGGAGGGCGCCAAGCTGCTCCTGATCGGCAGCAATCCCAGCGCAGTGGACGCAGCCAAAGCGGCTGCAGCGGGTGCGAGCGCCGGCGGCGAGTGGGATGCGCCGAAGAACGAGGAGCCCATCCACAAGCAGACGCAGCACGCCAAGGTATGCGCGGTGGTACATGTGCGGGGTGCGGGCCTCAGGGTTGGAACCCCGCCACAGGACACCTTACACAGCCCTTATCCCAGCTAATCTCATCTTCGTTCATCCCCCACGTCGTTTCTCTCTTGACCCCACTCTCCACCCTGCTGCACCACAGGTGCTAGCCAAGGGAGTCCCCGACGGAGCGCTGCCGGGTATTGCCGAGCGGCAGGTGCCGCTGGAGGACAAGATGACCGCCATCCCGGGGCTGCTGAACAGCCAGGGGAGCAAGGTACTGGAAGAGGGGAAGGAGGGGGGATAAAGGGGAGACACCCAACGCATGTGGCTAGGGGTTATCATGGGGAGGAGGGGGTTGGCCGGTTAGCGGCCAACAAGGCGTCGCTTGGGTCGGCTGCGTGTCATCTTCTGCTTTGCTAGGCTGCGGGGCTGCCGGCAGCTGCTGCTTTCGGAACTACCGATGATGCCGTTCATGTTGAGCTCTGAATTCGCTGCTGCTGCTGCTGCTGCTGCTGCCGCTGTTGCAAAGCGCCTGCTCATATGCTCTTACCTCCTCCCCTCCTTTGCCTCCGTTTATCCTCTTTTCCTTCTCTTCCCCCTCCTTCCCTGCCCCTCTTCCAGCTGCGCCTCACGTTCAAGGAGGAGCTGCAGCAGCTCTGGCTGGGCTCCGAAACCGCCACTCAGAAGGGTGGGTGGGCGGGCGGGTGGGGGGGGCATGCATGCACGCATGCATGCGTGTGGGTTGCATGGGGTGAGGGGGCGAGTAACGCGGAGGTGGGGCGAGGGGAGGGGAGGTGACGTAGGGTGAAGGAGAGAAGCATAGCACACACCGTGTTGGGCGGCATGGGGAAGGGTGACAGGTGAAGAGGGTGTGCACGCTAGCCTGAGCTATCCAAGGGAGGGACTCCCCTGGAGAGCTCAGGCAAGCTGCATATCCCCTTCACCTGTTACCTGCTCCTCCCTGCATCCTAACAAGCATGCTCACGTACATCCTCCAGTTGTCACACGCGCCAGTCAAGTTGTACCCTCTCCCACCCACGTCTCCACACCACCTTGACGCCCTCCCACCTCGCTCCTTCATCCCCTGTCTTACGCCCTCCTCCGCCTCCTTCTCCTCCTCCCCCTCCCCTTTCCTGCCGTACAGTCCCGTACGGCACCGTTTCCAAGATCGAGTCCTGGCCGCTGCCGGACCACCCCGGCTACTCGCTCCTGGCGCTGCACCTGGGCACCGGCGGCGTGTCCAAGTACTGGATCTATTTCTTCCCCAGCCAGTACGTGGCGGGACTCAAGATACGCGTGCTGGGAGTGCAGTCGCTCATTTGAGCGTGGGGAGGCGGGTTGGGGGGAGGCGGGATGGAGGAAGGAGGGGGATTAGATAAACTGAGCCGCGAGAAACCACTGACCGTGACCATAGGATGACCCGTTGGCGTCCAGCAGAAGGGAGAGGCGGGGAGGTGCAGGGAGGCGGGATGGAGGCGGGAGGCGGGGTTGCATGCAGGGGTGGATGGAGGCGGGAGGCGAAGGATGTGGGGTAGTGGCCGCGGCTGTGTGGCGGTGTGTGAGTGCCGCTTGTTTGGTGGATGTGTTAAGAAGACTGGTGGGTGGTTGTGTGTGTGTGATTGAAGGTGTTGTCGGGCGGTACGGCGGATCTGTGGGCGTAAGAGGCGGCAGGGGATGAGTTTGTTGGATCCGGGCCACGAGAAAGGCGGCTTCCAGCTCGCTAGGTAAGACTTCTTCTGGCATTCACGGTAGCTGCCGGGGTTGCGCTTGCTGATGTACGGAGGATGTTGATCGTACAGCAAGGTGGTGTCGTACGGCACACGGCAGCTGTTGATTGAGGGCAGTCGCCTTGTTGCACGCAGCTTCAGTTGGGGTATCTCTTCTTTGTTACCGGTACATTTTCGTTTGACATGGTGTTTCATCAATTTTACGGGGAAAGCAGGCGGATGTTAGGATGAAAACAGCAGCTGAGGGCAAGCCAAGGCGCCGCCACTGTGGCCGCCGGTAGGGTATAGGATTGACGCTAAAGGCGACGAGTGGGAATATAGTTTGGACAGGATAGAGAGATGCCCTCAGAAGAGTAGACGACCTGCCGGGCGATACTTGCACATGCATTGCAAGGGCGACATACGCTTTACGTCCATTCTGGGCCGGGAAGAAGACGCTGAAGACGATGATGATAACAATGGCAAAGACGCGTTAGTTGTAGATGGCTGCAGGCTAATAGACGAATAGAAAAGGTTGTAGAAACGGCTCACACTGCCCTAGCATGGATGCGCATGGTATGCGGCGAAGGACCAGGTTGCACCTGGAAGGATGTGTGTTGTGTTTGAGCTCCATTGGGAGAAGGGGTGGTAGGCAGGTAGGGCTGAACAGGCGGCAAGCCGACAGCAATGCATCAGTTGATACGCATGCAGCTGTGGGGGTGAGTGGTGGGCTTTGTTTGCTGCAAAGGCGTTGGCATGTTGACGAGGGGGGGGTGCTCTGAGTGGGCACCGGATCTGACTGTTAATACCCAGACGCGGTCCTCGCTGGAATGCTTGCCGTACATGTTTACAACGGAACGTGGCGCGAGCCAACACGGTGTTAGCCATGTTACCAGAATGGTCACTGGTCCATCATCCTGGCGTGCATGCATGGCGCAACCCCCACGCACTGTAGACACAGCTTACTCATCCAGTTGACGACTGTAACATACCATCACACAGGCAGCGCGTTAAGGCACCTACATCAGCTGCGGCAGCTCTGGGGCTATTCATCAACATTCAACAAGGCTCATGTGCACATGCAACTCCTCGAGTATCCCTTAGCAGCATTTCACTATTAAAGCAATCCATAGTACGTAGCACCTGGTGGCGCAGCTATGTTTCTTCCTCGTTCTTCGGTTCCTTCAAGTGAAGTCGCGCGCTAGTGCCGTGGCATCCGTCACATCCGCTCCGCCGCCAATGTTATCGCGCCGCGCAGCCGCTGGGTTGCCTCCCCCGGTGCCTGTCGTCCCCATTCCGCCCAGCGCGTCGGAAGCCGCCTTGCCGCTGCCGATTCCGCGCTTCACGGGACCGCTGTCTCCCAGGCCGCGCTGCTCCTCCGCTGCGGCTCGGCTCTCGGCTGCTGCGGCCGTTTTCTCGCGATCGATGTTCTCCATTAGCGTAATGTGGGTGGTGCAGCACGAGGATAGCAATGAGCTTGCTTATTTTGTGGTAATGGGAAGTGGATTATGGGATACTTGCGTATTTGGAAAAGACGCTTTATGCTTTTCGGGCTCTATCTTCTGTACAGCGGTCTGACGCAGGGGCGCTGACCCCAGGGCCGTGCTGACGTCGATCTTCATTCCTCAAGCCCGCATTGTCGCATACCGGTATTTACCGCTCGTCACATAGAAATTGTATCCCTGAACAGCTACATACACTCTAAGCAGTTGTCGCATTCGTCCTCAGAGGTCCAATCGGCGGTCATCCTTTTTGGGTTTCTTGGAAGGATCGCATCGCCCAGCAACGTACTAGCTATCGCAGTGCTCCTCAGCGTTTACGGCGCTACCTTGCTCGCCCAACACTTGCGGTCAGTTTGGAGGTCCAAACCAGCCAGCCTTTATTCCCGGTAAGTTGCAAGCATGGACAAATTTGTCCATGCGGTCCATCTCTGCGCCTTTAGATGCTTAATGCAAGATTATTTCGCTTAGCTATGGGTGCCTGGGGGCTGCCCGCAAAGCGAACGCAGCAACGGTCATTCCGAACTCTGCGACCTTACATGCTAAACCTCCCCAATGTAAATGAATGCTCTCCTACAGGTAATAACCACAGCAATAAACAACCGCGGGCCAACCAGACATGAACGAGCGCGGTGACAGCGCCGAGCGACCCACGGGTCAGTTCGCCGCCTCTTCTGCCGATAGCGGCGGCCCCAGGATGCTGGGCAGCCCGGGAGGCCGCCGCGCCGCCGGCACCGTGCTGGGCGGCCGCGGCGACGAGGGCGGAGCGAGCCCCATTCTGAGTGCCATGATGGACCGGGGACTTCATCGCGTGCTAGGACACCACCACCAGCCGCAGCAGGAGCGGCAGCAGGGGTATGGGCAGCAGGAGCAGCAGGCTTATGAGCAGCAGCAGGGATATGAGCAGCAGCAGGAGCAGCATGAGGGGTTTGGCACTGGGGGAGGCCTGGAGGGAGGGCGTGATCAGGAGTTCTAGGGTAGGAGACGGGTGGCAGCAGATCCGGTGGAGGTCAGCTTCAGGATTCAGCAGCAGGGCAGGGGATGCTCTTTTTTGAGGCAGCGTATCGGTACTACTGGCATCAGTTGGCACGGGCTGTGGGATTTGCGGTTCCCTAGGCAAGCCTGTATTGAATGCTTGCGCAGGATGACAGCTGATAAGTGGCAGACTTTGGTAGGCCACATTCATGCGGGGTCATGGGGGTCAACGACAAGAAGCATAATCGTGGTGTAGGCTGGTCCTGCTTTGCATAAGCCCAAGCCGTGTAACAAACCTCCTGACTAGATGCTCGCAACCGGTGATTGTACTCAGTGCGTCTGCAGCGATGCTAAGCCCATCCAAGAGGTTGTCAAGTACAAGACCTCACCGGTACTCATGCGCCTCTCTTAAAAGGTGTACATTTCCATGTCAGCAAGTCACCGCCGTCATTATATGTCGCCACGTCATGTCACGGCATGCAGCCTAGCATCACAAGAAGCAGGCCCTCGCTGACCCATGGGTCCCTAGCCCTAGCCATCACCTAGCGGTATACCTACAGGGAACTCCAGCCGCCAGGAAGCCCTTCGCAGCACCCGCTAACAAAGTAGTAGCGCCCTCCATGGTACACCCAAACGTGCTCTCCCACCCACAAGATGTGCTGCGCATGGACGAGCTAGCGTTAAGCAACCGTCAATCAACCATCAATACGAACATATGATCACGAACAATGGCTGCCCCAAAGGCCTGCACAAAGAGCCCTCCACGACAGCAGAGACAGTAGCCGTCCGCAAAAACACGCGTCCACCCGCGTCCACACAACCACACCCGCCTCGCCCTCTCCGCTCCCTGCCCTGCTCGCAGCCTCCTGCCTTACGGTCCGCTTGCCAGTTGCCAAACCAACAACCGCGTAGCACGGAGACCCAAGGCCGCCGTGAACCGTAGAAGCTGCCTCCGCCTGGAGCCCCAACACCCACGCTGCATGGAGGTCCCAAACACGCACGCTGCATGCTGCATGGACAGCCCGAACATGCACGCTGGCATGGAGGTCCCGTGCCCACCCCGCAGCCGTACTCGTCCTTGTGGCTCATTGCCTGGACGTACTGCTCAACTCCTGCTTGGAAAAGGGACGTCAGGGGAAACGGGCCAGCGAAGTATTTAGCGGCCAGGTATGGTGGAGGACTTTGAGCACTTTGCGTTGTGAAGTTGCAGGCGGGCAGTCCTGACCCATGGGTCGCAAAGGGCCCTGAACGGGACCCAGAACAAGGACCTTACACGTGCGGTCGTAAAGCAAAGATTTCTGGCGACTACGGATCCCTTGCAAGCTGTGACAAATGCCCCAGCGGACAGCATGACGACGAGGGACAAACAATCCAGTCCATGGCACAAGAACACAAAAGAGGTCTTCACCCAGGACGCACCGCCTGGGGGCACTGCTGCTCACTCACTGTCACGCAGCACGCCGCAATAGTTGCGAATCCGCTCCGGCGTTTCCCGCTGCTGCAGCTGCCGGCCGCCTCAGCCCACGCCCAAGTTTCCTGGGGTGCACGGGGGTGGGGGGCAACAGGGTGGGCAGCAGGGCGGTGTTGCGTAACACACTGTAGGGGCAACTCTTTACCCAACAAGGCAAACCAAGGGGTGGGGCAGCCCATGGAGGCCCCTGTAGAAACAGGATAGGACGGAGGGAACGCCGTTCCCTGGTCTGTGCAGGACTGCCAGGCCTGACCCCTCCTCCACAAAGCACCCCCAAGAAACGGCAACCCAAACGCAACCTGATGCAACTCGTAGCTTCCCTCCCAGACACACCTCAGCTCCCCAAGCACCCAACCCCACCTGAGCGGCACATTCGATGTTGTCGGACACAATAGCGGCTGGCGTGCGTGCGCGTCAACAGCGGCGGCGTGCCGCTGGTGAGCGAGTCGCGCGGAGGAAGACGGCTGGCGGCGGCTGGCTGCAACACGTGTCGTACGGCAGCTGGGTGTCGTACTGCAGCGGAGTCAAGCTGCAAGGCTGGCGCCGAGTTCGGCAGCCAACGACCGCCCAGCCGGCTGGTGCAGGAAGGGCTGGGCTGGGAAGTAGATCCGGTCAAGGTGGGAAGTGATGGTCGACGTCAACTGGTGGTGTGTCAACTAACTGCTAAAATGTCAAGATAAAAATTAAGTAGGATCGTAGCCATCCTGCGAGATAACTTCATGTAACGCTGCATCTGGTAGGGGCGATTGGGATGCTCTGCTGCTGTCGGGACGCCCAAGTGAAAGCAGCTGCTGCCTCGGGCAGCTGTCACCCTCGCGTCCCTTGCCACCACCGCCGCCACCCCGCGTCCCTCCTCCACCTTCTCCTCCGCCACCACAACGCTCACGTAGAGATCTCCTCCTCCGCCGCCGTCGCCGCTCACGTGCAACGGCGGTGTACGGCACTGGGTCCCGCCTCATCGTAATCCGCCTTCACAATGAAGTGATTCTGGATCAGCGCCACCTTGGCTAGTACGGCACCGCCCACCCAGGCAGCGTCGCGCGGCACGTTGGGCGAGGGCAGGTACTCGGGCGTGGGGATGATGGCGGCGTTGGCGGAGGCGGGCGCCATGGAACGCGCCTCGGAGAGGAAGCGCTGCGGGAGGCCCGGAATGACACTGCCGCCGCCGACCAGGACCATGTTTTCGTACATGAGCTTGCGAAGGAGGGGTTCCAGCAGGCAGCCGGCGCTGTCGACTGCTGCTTCGGCGATGTTGGGACCGCGGAGGCCGAGGAGGGATGTGGGTTGGAAGAGGGCTTCGCCCACACGCAGGCCGTCGCTGCTGGCGACTTGGATTTCCTGGCCATCGGGAAGTTTGAATGTTTCGAGGGAGGAGGAGGAAGAGATGCTGTTTTTGTAAGCGGTTTCGGAGTCTGCGCAACGTACGCAGAGTTCCTTGAGGGCTTCAGCCGCCTCGTCGGTTAGCTGTGGGCTGGAGGAGGATGGGATGGAGCCGTCAGAGGATGGCTGCTGCTGTTGGCCGCGGCTAGGGTCCCGCATGAGCTGCTGCATGTACTGCGTTAGGTTTGCACAGCCGTACTCCAAGCGTCGCACGCTGGTCAAGTTGGCTAGGCCATCCATGACCGTGGCGACATCGACTTTGTCGTGCCCGATGTCCACAACCAGGCCACTGGTGCGACCAAAGGCATATAGGGACAGGACAGCCTGGTCCTGGCAAAACATGCCTGGGACGTTGAAGACCTCAAACATCAGCTGCGTCATCATTTCGCGGTCTGTCCTGCCGGTTAGAAGCGGCTCGCACAGCATCACGTGACCTTCATTGCCTAGCTCCCATCCCATGAGCTCGTAAAGAACGTAGTAAGCAAGCGACTCAAACTGGTCCCAGTCAAGGATCTTGCCGCGGCGGATGGGTCGCTGCAATTCGCCGGCAGCTGCGCTGTCTGCTGGCCCATTCGCGTTATTCTTATCCACGTAAACAGCTGTGGGTGCCATGATCCGTGGCTCCTCGTCAGTAGGAAAGTTGTATGCCCAACCAGCTTTGAGCCAGCGGCTGCCATAGTCCAGAACTGCGACACTCTCTCCCATCTTGGTCACTAGGCTTAGACGTCAAGTGCCAAGGTTGTCAAGTGTTATAGACTAGTATACTGTTTACGCAGTTCCGATCGTCAATGGTCTTCCGGCAGTAAAAATAAGGAACCAAGAAAGCAGGCAGGCTTACTATAAAAGCCTTTGCTTTAAGTGCTAGGTTAGCTGTCGAGGGTTGCGACTTTGCAGTTGGCGCTCGGAATCGCCAGTACGGCAGGAAGGGAAAGCGTCGACCCTCCCAGCTTTGACCTTGCACGCCTTGCATATCCTAAAGCACAGCAGTAGCTTAATGAGGAATCAGTTGCGGTTACAATGTCTTAAAGGTCTTGCTTGTGGACCCACGGTTCGATTGCCAATCGGTGCGCATGTCCCCATCGACAGCATAGGGAACAGCGTCTGCACACCAACGCCCCAGGCCAAACATAACAAGCCCAAAAGGGGCAGCAGGTGCCTTGGCATGCCATTCAATCCCCTACACCCCAATATTAAGCTGCAAACCAACAGCCCCAGACACCAACTAGATTACCATGTAGCGGAGCGCCCACCCGTCAGCTCACACCACACGACAACGTCACAGCATCAAGATCATTGGCTTGCGCCGGCTCGACCTGCGAAGTCCCAGCCTAGCTGCGCTCACCATGCTTGCACTATCCCACTACCTAGGCGGCCGTGACGTACGATCCCATACGGATCAGTAATCCCCCTTGCACGCTGCGACAGCTCCCTCCCAGCCCCTCCCCAGCTCCTTCCCAACCTCAGCCCCAGCCCCTCACGCGGTACTGCTGCTCTGCCCCAGCTCCTGGCCCACCGCCCCACCTCCTCCGCCCGCCGCAGGCCCCTCCCCAGCTCCCATGCCGCCCTCCTCCCCCTCAGTCAGTTAGTTGTTTCCTCTTTATCCCCCTCATCTGCTACCTGGTCCACATCTCCGTCAATGTCAATGGGCTCCTCCGATTCGGTTGCCCTGGCGGTTGGAGCGGTTGGGTCGGCGACGTCGCGGCCTGGGAGCCCGCGGGAGTGCCACCGCCGCTGCCGATGGCGCCTGGGCCAAACAAACCGCCGGTTGTGCCGCCGCCGTAGCTCATGGTGGCTTGCGACTGGTTGTTTTTTGGTTCAGTCTAGGTTTGTTGCTAGTTAGCCGCTAGTATCCTTTGCGAACGAGGAAGCGGTTGTCGCGAAGCCGAATGTTTACTAAAGATACGCAGGACAACTACAATGGACGCTGCCGCAATATGTAACCTTATATTGTTGTTTGCGTCGGCGATGCAAGCTTTGGTGGAATTGCAGGAATACGGTACCTAGGTATGTTGCGCGCAGTAGTGTCTTTAATAACACTACTCAGCAGCGTGAGGTATTTTCAGCTTAAACCGCTGCAATTGTTTGCCATCTTCCTCTGCAACTGCTCTAATGGTACGGCAGCGGGCAACGGTTGGACTCGGAGCGAGCCCCAAGCTGCAACGCAAACATCGTAGGTGAAGGGCTAAGTGCTGTCTGTTCCTGACTTGGTTTAGTTGCCGCCTGTCCCTTACTTACCGTTTGCGCTTGGTGAGTGACAAGGGTAACAAGTGGCTGGGCAAGATGGTGGATGCTGCATCACGGAGATTCACGGCATACCATGCACGCTGGTCATGCTCGCAGTCAACGGGCAAGGTTCGTTCGTGGCTATTTAAGTGATTATTCGTCGCGGCTCAGCATTGCACAAAGTAGGTGTGTTGCTGTTGCTCCGTACTGCGTTGCCTGGGAGCTGAGGATGCTGGCACACAGCCTAAGCATCACGTTGTTATTGTTTATACCCCGTTGCTTGCGCAAAGCAAACATGACCACCGCCATGTATATATTACCGTTACATGGGGATAGGTGCCGCATTGTTCAACTACGCCGCAACTTGTACGACTCCTTTCTCAGGAGCATGCAGCGGTACGTGCAACACATGGCACGGATCAGTTGTATCAGTCTATTGCTAAACCAACCATCATACGACTACTGTCCCACGGGTCATAAGAGGCACTGCCATCGCAAAAAGGCAAAACTATTACCGGTAAACTGGAGTACAACTGACAAACAACTAGCTACGGTCTTATAGTATCTGACCCACGGGTCGAACGGACGCCGCCATTGTCAGGGCAATCCAAACCGTCATACCAGGCCAACTACAGCCCTCAGTACCCTTCAACCGCAATTCGCGTAGATTGCAAAACTCTGCATGCCAAGTAGACAGCACCCGGCGAATCCTCCTCACTATCCTACAGCCGAGTGGATTTACCCTAGCCAACCACCCTCGCAGATTCTGTATCTACCAACTGTATAGCAAAACCCGCGCATGCCCTCCTAAGCCGCTTCATCTCCGCCCACGTCCTCCGCATACCCTCCCGCACGCCATCCCCCTACTCCAATCCCCATCCACCCTCGTACACCGCCCATCACCTAGTAGCGGCTGCCTCCCACACCGCTGCTGCCGTATCCCGTACCCATGCCGCCCGTACCGCCCATGGCGCTGCCCGCCGTCGTCCCGCTGTCGTACGAACTTGCCGTACCCGTGCCGCCGTGAGTGGCATCGTCAATCTTGTGTACGACATCGCCCGCCATGCCGCACGTGGCCACGTTGGCCGCCAGGTTAGCCGCCTTGCCCACGGTACCCGCCACGGCGTGGGTAACGGAGCCGATGACGCCGCCGTGGTGATGGTGGTGGCCGGTGCCGGTGGTGCCGTACTCGCCGCCGGTACCGGTAGTGTCGTACTCGCTGGACCGGGTGCCGTACTCGCCGCCGGCGGCACCGGTAGTGTCGTACTCAGTAGAACGGGTGCCGTACTCGCCGGTGCCGGTACCAGTGCTGCCGCCCATGCCCATGGCCCGCTCGGCGGCGCCCATGATGCCGCCGCCACCAGTGCCAGCGCCCATGCCGGTGCTGCCGTACTCGCCGCCGCTGCCGTACGTGCCGCGCTCGCCGCCGCTGCCGACACCCATGGCGTTCTCGACCGCACCCGTCACGCCGCCGCCGTGATGGTGGCGGTGGTGGTGGCCGGTACCGGTCTCGTAAGACGACCCACGGGTCTCGGAGGTGCCGCCGGGCGTGATGGCGTCAGCGGCGCGGCCGAGCATGCCGGTGACGCCGCCGCCGTGGCCGGTGGTGCCGGTGGTGCCAGGGGCCATGGGGTCGGAGGAGGAGGACAGGATGCCGGTGTTGGCGCCGGTGCCGGTGCCGCTGCCGTAGTACTCGTCACCGCGGCCCATCATGGTTGCGAAGGACGAGGTTTTGGAGGGAGCGGAAAAGAAGGAAGAGGTGGAGGAGGAGAAGAGATGGTGAAGAAGGAGGCGGAGAGGAAGTAAGGAAAAGCGGCGAGTTGTCGCGATGAGCTTAAGTGGAAAGCGCGCAGTTCAGTTGCTTAAAGGATGTTTGATTGTATGTGAGAAAAGGCAGGTTTAAGCGAACGTTTGATGTATTGCAAGGTTACCGAAGTAGGCCTTGATTTGTTTTAACCTAGCATTTATTGTCTAGATTGCACAATGCGGTCGCAGGTACGGGCAATGTGCCGTCGTGCTGGCGTGCTGACTGGGACGGCGGTGACGCGTGGCTTGTGCAACAGACATTAGTAAGGCTACGAACAGAAGCAGACTGGACCGTTTACCCTTGCCTCGAAGCAGTCGAATAATGCTCGCTAAGTAGACGGCAATGCGGTCCAAAAGCGCTAGCTCAGAAGATGTTTGTTGCTGAACAGGCCAGGTCGGCGGGCTCTAGCAAGCCTGCTTGCTTTACGAACGGAAGGTGCCCGCGGGTCGCTTTGTTCATAAGCTTTAAACATGGGCCTTAATAGCAGAGTAAGTGAACTGCACAAAAGGTCCATGGCCTCTCGTAGTGACTGTATGCTTCTTTTGGACTGAGGTCATACTGCCATGTGACAGGCACCAGCATGTCACACGCTCATTCAGGCAAGACAGAGCCGCATGTCCGTCGCGACGGCTCCAAATCGGGTCCACAGTAGCATTCAGTAAGCCCGAGAGAGAAAACCCATAAGCGACCTCCTTTTACCAAGTTATTCTGTATGCCAGGTGTTCTGCCAAGTGCCCATCCGGAAGTGTATCAGTTACCGCCGCTCATAGCTCCACGTGACAGTAGATAGGCCCTTAGCCCCCAACTATCGAACATTGCTGAAAACTACATGTTGTTCTTAAACCTGGGTAAAAAGATAAAGAGACAGCCCAACTGCCGCATGCATTATCTGCCCTACCTACGCCTTCAGGACCTCAACCCATGCAACAGCTGTGGACAGAGCCCCAGCTCTATCGTGTTACGCTTCCCAGCAGGCGCGCATACCCATGCCCACGCACCACCCATAGCTCGCACCTCCACGCTATTACCGCTGAAACTAGCAACCCAATCACCCCCCATAAGGCGCAAAACAGTCACAACCAGAAGCAATTTATGGTGGATGCCGCCCCCGCCGCCGCCGCCGCCCGCCTCCATCCATCAAGCACAAACGCATTGCATGCACGTGCATTGCAAAAACCTAAGCTGCACATAACACAAGCTTACACCAAATCCATCAAGTCGCATTCCCGGTTGGAGTCCTTGGGGGCCTCAGGCTCGCTGCCGCCGCCTTGCAACGCCGACTTCCGACGTTCCGATCCCTCCCGCTTGTTAGGCACCTGGGCTTTGGGCGCCGGAGGCTCTGCCCAACTCCACGTCACCACCTCCTCCTTCACCAGGCACATGCTGCTGCCGCCAGCGCCGCCGCCACCGTTACCACATGCTGCCGCACCCGCACCCGCACCTGCACCCGCCTCCGCCACCGCCTTTACGTCGTACCGCACCCCCGGCTGCACGCTGCACAGCACGAACACCCTGCCGCCAGTAGTGTGCTTCACGTAACCGGCGGTTGCGGCCTCAAACTCCAGGCGGCGCAGGGGCTCCTGGCTGCCAGGGTCAATGGGCAGGTAGGCGCTGCCCCCTTGTTGGACGGCCGGTGTGGCCGCGTAGAGGCGCAGCAGCGGGTGCGCTGCCAGCAGAAACAGACCCAGGTGCAAAGCGCGGAGAAGCAGGCAGTGCACTACGGGTTCAGTCCTGACAGCTTTGGCAAGGTCAGGGAAGCTACGTAGCCAATGGGCTAGGTTGCTAGCCATTTTGTTGGTGGCCTGGATAATGGTCGCAGCGGCAGTGTT